AAGTCGTAACTTTTTTTCTATTATAGATAGAAAGCTGGAACTTTCATTGAATTTTATCCCTTCCAAAGGACTACAATCCCTGAAAATTTCAGCTCATTTGCACTTATAGTTCTTGAGATAAAATCGTGTTAAGCAATTTGGGGTGATTTATCAATTTTTCAATTTTTCTGAGTGCCTTTTTTCATAGATTTCGGCTTCAAATCTGAGAATAATTGTGTGTATGGAGTTTGGGGTATCTTGATTGACTATTAGGACACAAAATCTAGACAAAAAAAAAATTGAAATTTCATCGTTTTAGTAAGAAGGTACCTACCTTATAATTTAGATTTTGGAAAACTTTGAGAAGTCGTAACTTTTTTTCTATTATAGATAGAAAGCTGGAACTTTCATTGAATTTTATCCCTTCCAAAGGACTACAATCCCTGAAAATTTCAGCTCATTTGCACTTATAGTTCTTGAGATAAAATCGTGTTAAGCAATTTGGGGTGATTTATCAATTTTTCAATTTTTCTGAGTGCCTTTTTTCATAGATTTCGGCTTCAAATCTGAGAATAATTGTGTGTATGGAGTTTGGGGTATCTTGATTGACTATTAGGACACAAAATCTAGACAAAAAAAAAATTGAAATTTCATCGTTTTAGTAAGAAGGTACCTACCTTATAATTTAGATTTTGGAAAACTTTGAGAAGTCGTAACTTTTTTTCTATTATAGATAGAAAGCTGGAACTTTCATTGAATTTTATCCCTTCCAAAGGACTACAATCCCTGAAAATTTCAGCTCATTTGCACTTATATTTCTTGAGATAAAATCGTGTTAAGCAATTTGGGGTGATTTATCAATTTTTCAATTTTTCTGAGTGCCTTTTTTCATAGATTTCGGCTTCAAATCTGAGAATAATTGTGTGTATGGAGTTTGGGGTATCTTGATTGACTATTAGGACACAAAATCTAGACAAAAAAAAAATTGAAATTTCATCGTTTTAGTAAGAAGGTACCTACCTTATAATTTAGATTTTGGAAAACTTTGAGAAGTCGTAACTTTTTTTCTATTATAGATAGAAAGCTGGAACTTTCATTGAATTTTATCCCTTCCAAAGGACTACAATCCCTGAAAATTTCAGCTCATTTGCACTTATAGTTCTTGAGATAAAATCGTGTTAAGCAATTTGGGGTGATTTATCAATTTTTCAATTTTTCTGAGTGCCTTTTTTCATAGATTTCGGCTTCAAATCTGAGAATAATTGTGTGTATGGAGTTTGGGGTATCTTGATTGACTATTAGGACACAAAATCTAGACAAAAAAAAAATTGAAATTTCATCGTTTTAGTAAGAAGGTACCTACCTTATAATTTAGATTTTGGAAAACTTTGAGAAGTCGTAACTTTTTTTCTATTATAGATAGAAAGCTGGAACTTTCATTGAATTTTATCCCTTCCAAAGGACTACAATCCCTGAAAATTTCAGCTCATTTGCACTTATAGTTCTTGAGATAAAATCGTGTTAAGCAATTTGGGGTGATTTATCAATTTTTCAATTTTTCTGAGTGCCTTTTTTCATAGATTTCGGCTTCAAATTTGAGAATAATTGTGTGTATGGAGTTTGGGGTATGTTGATTGACCATTAGGACACAAAATCTCGACAAAAAAAAAAATTGAAATTTCATCGTTTTAGTAAGAAGGTACCTACCTTATAATTTAGATTTTGGAAAACTTTGAGAAGTCGTAACTTTTTTTCTATTATAGATAGAAAACTGGAACTTTCATTGAATTTTATCCCTTCCAAAGGACTACAATCCCTGAAAATTTCAGCTCATTTGCACTTATATTTCTTGAGATAAAATCGTGTTAAGCAATTTGGGGTGATTTATCAATTTTTCAATTTTTCTGAGTGCCTTTTTTCATAGATTTCGGCTTCAAATCTGAGAATAATTGTGTGTATGGAGTTTGGGGTATCTTGATTGACTATTAGGACACAAAATCTAGACAAAAAAAAAATTGAAATTTCATCGTTTTAGTAAGAAGGTACCTACCTTATAATTTAGATTTTGCAAAACTTTGAGAAGTCATAACTTTTTTTCTATTATAGATAGAAAGCTGGAACTTTCACTGAATTTTATCCCTTCCAAAGGACTACAATCCCTGAAAATTTCAGCTCATTTGCACTTATAGTTCCTGAGATAAAATCGTGTTAAGCAATTTGGGGTGATTTATCAATTTTTCAATTTTTCTGAGTGCCTTTTTTCATAGATTTCGGCTTCAAATCTGAGAATAATTGTGTGTCTGGAGTTTGGGGTATGTTGATTGACCATTAGGACACAAAATCTTGACAAAAAAAAAATTGAAATTTCATCGTTTTAGTAAGAAGGTACCTACCTTATAATTTAGATTTTGCAAAACTTTGAGAAGTCATAACTTTTTTTCTATTATAGATAGAAAGCTGGAACTGTCACTGAATTTTATCCCTTCCAAAGGACTACAATCCCTGAAAATTTCAGCTCATTTGCACTTATAGTTCCTGAGATAAAATCGTGTTAAGCAATTTGGGGTGATTTATCAATTTTTCAATTTTTCTGAGTGCCTTTTTTCATAGATTTCGGCTTCAAATCTGAGAATAATTGTGTGTATGGAGTTTGGGGTATCTTGATTGACTATTAGGACACAAAATCTAGACAAAAAAAAATTGAAATTTCATCGTTTTAGTAAGAAGGTACCTACCTTATAATTTAGATTTTGGAAAACTTTGAGAAGTCATAACTTTTTTTCTATTATAGATAGAAAGCTGGAACTTTCATTGAATTTTATCCCTTCCAAAGGACTACAATCCCTGAAAATTTCAGCTCATTTGCACTTATAGTTCCTGAGATAAAATCGTGTTAAGCAATTTGGGGTGATTTATCAATTTTTCAATTTTTCTGAGTGCCTTTTTTCATAGATTTCGGCTTCAAATCTGAGAATAATTGTGTGTATGGAGTTTGGGGTATCTTGATTGACTATTAGGACACAAAATCTAGACAAAAAAAAAATTGAAATTTCATCGTTTTAGTAAGAAGGTACCTACCTTATAATTTAGATTTTGGAAAACTTTGAGAAGTCATAACTTTTTTTCTATTATAGATAGAAAGCTGGAACTTTCATTGAATTTTATCCCTTCCAAAGGAATACAATCCCTGAAAATTTCAGCTCATTTGCACTTATAGTTCTTGAGATAAAATCGTGTTAAGCAATTTGGGGTGATTTATCAATTTTTCAATTTTTCTGAGTGCCTTTTTTCATAGATTTCGGCTTCAAATCTGAGAATAATTGTGTGTATGGAGTTTGGGGTATGTTGATTGACCATTAGGACACAAAATCTCGACAAAAAAAAAATTGAAATTTCATCGTTTTAGTAAGAAGGTACCTACCTTATAATTTAGATTTTGGAAAACTTTCAGAAGTCATAACTTTTTTTCTATTATAGATAGAAAGCTGGAACTTTCATTGAATTTTATCCCTTCCAAAGGACTACAATCCCTGAAAATTTCAGCTCATTTGCACTTATAGTTCCTGAGATAAAATCGTGTTAAGCAATTTGGGGTGATTTATCAATTTTTCAATTTTTCTGAGTGCCTTTTTTCATAGATTTCGGCTTCAAATCTGAGAATAATTGTGTGTATGGAGTTTGGGGTATCTTGATTGACTATTAGGACACAAAATCTAGACAAAAAAAAAATTGAAATTTCATCGTTTTAGTAAGAAGGTACCTACCTTATAATTTAGATTTTGGAAAACTTTGAGAAGTCATAACTTTTTTTCTATTATAGATAGAAAGCTGGAACTTTCATTGAATTTTATCCCTTCCAAAGGACTACAATCCCTGAAAATTTCAGCTCATTTGCACTTATAGTTCCTGAGATAAAATCGTGTTAAGCAATTTGGGGTGATTTATCAATTTTTCAATTTTTCTGAGTGCCTTTTTTCATAGATTTCGGCTTCAAATCTGAGAATAATTGTGTGTATGGAGTTTGGGGTATCTTGATTGACTATTAGGACACAAAATCTAGACAAAAAAAAAAATTGAAATTTCATCGTTTTAGTAAGAAGGTACCTACCTTATAATTTAGATTTTGGAAAACTTTGAGAAGTCATAACTTTTTTTCTATTATAGATAGAAAGCTGGAACTTTCATTGAATTTTATCCCTTCCAAAGGACTACAATCCCTGAAAATTTCAGCTCATTTGCACTTATAGTTCCTGAGATAAAATCGTGTTAAGCAATTTGGGGTGATTTATCAATTTTTCTGAGTGCCTTTTTTCATAGATTTCGGCTTCAAATCTGAGAATAATTGTGTGTATGGAGTTTGGGGTATCTTGATTGACTATTAGGACACAAAATCTAGACAAAAAAAAAATTGAAATTTCATCGTTTTAGTAAGAAGGTACCTACCTTATAATTTAGATTTTGGAAAACTTTGAGAAGTCGTAACTTTTTTTCTATTATAGATAGAAAGCTGGAACTTTCATTGAATTTTATCCCTTCCAAAGGACTACAATCCCTGAAAATTTCAGCTCATTTGCACTTATAGTTCCTGAGATAAAATCGTGTTAAGCAATTTGGGGTGATTTATCAATTTTTCAATTTTTCTGAGTGCCTTTTTTCATAGATTTCGGCTTCAAATCTGAGAATAATTGTGTGTATGGAGTTTGGGGTATCTTGATTGACTATTAGGACACAAAATCTAGACAAAAAAAAAAATTGAAATTTCATCGTTTTAGTAAGAAGGTACCTACCTTATAATTTAGATTTTGGAAAACTTTGAGAAGTCATAACTTTTTTTCTATTATAGATAGAAAGCTGGAACTTTCATTGAATTTTATCCCTTCCAAAGGACTACAATCCCTGAAAATTTCAGCTCATTTGCACTTATAGTTCCTGAGATAAAATCGTGTTAAGCAATTTGGGGTGATTTATCAATATTTTAATTAATATTCCTGGCACGTTAAAGTGAATTATTCTTGTTCTAGAATGATGACTTCAAGAGTGACTCTCGACTCCCAAGGAAGACTGATATTACGCGAAAATGGTAAAATAATCCTACCATTCGAACATTTCGCCAACGCTGTAATGCTGAAACATATGAACGGCCACCACGGGCTCCATTTGGGCGTCGAAGCCACTGTGAGGGCTGTAATGGAGTCCTACACAATAGGCCGCGAAAACTTTGGCATGGAAAAAGACTTCATAATAGAAGTGGTGCAAAATTGCCCCAATCCTGCTTGCCGCTACTACAAAAATCAAATGGAGCTGACTCAGAAAACTTTGCAGCATTTAGCCCCAGGTTATTTGGGGGACAGTAGAAGCACTTCAGTATCAGAAGGCAGTATTAGGGGACGTTTAGGAGCAGTCGATCTCAGCGGGCAACAATTGGATCCTAAAACCCAATCATTGATGGAAAGGCCTAAAAGTGTAGCTCCTAGCCAACAAGAAATCACTGCAGCTCTTCTACAGCAACAAAGCCGTGTAATCGCCCAACAAAATCTTGATAAAATCAACGCCAATTTGGAAAAGCAACGTCAACAGTTGCACTTGCAACAGCAAATGGACTTGGCAGCTAAGAGGGAACGTGAGCAACAGAAACAGGAACAACAGCAGCAACAGCAAAGGGAAAGGGAAAGGGAGCAATTGCAGCAACAGCAGCAAGCGCAAACTCAACAAGCAAAGCCACATTTTGATTTGCCATTGATGGATCACAAACTGACTGATTTTTTGAGGGCTAATATTGATAATTTGGAAGGACTTGGGGCTTCTAACAAAGATCTTTTGGCCTTACATAATGGGGCTTGGGCTACTTCGAATAACAGCGATAAAAGCTTGACTGAGGGCGGTCAGGAAAAAATTGTGAGGGCTTTTAGCGAAGTTATGAAGAATATGGGGAGAATGAAGACTTATGTTAGACCGTCTATGTGCAAACCTTATGGGAAACAGTCGGAGGCTTTACAAAAAAGTAAGAATATTGTTTATGATTATAAACTTTTTTTGCACATAAGAGTATTCGAAACAATTATTGCAATTTTCAAAGAAGTGGTTTAAGGGCTCAAGGCAAGGCTACTTTCCTTGATTTTTTAGCTTTTCAACATTTTCACAGGATCTACTCTATCTATTCTAGCAAGCTTGAAATGAACCAAAATATCTTAAATTTCAAGAGGTTAAAGTTTGTCACAGCTCTGGGGTGCGTGACAGAAATCTTGGGTTTGCTTATTTGAAAATCAAAGTCCAATTAACATAACAATAATTTAATAATATTCAACGTCACTATAACACTTTGACACTAATTAACTGAAACAACTAAACTCTTCACAACTCTTAACAATAATCACTATCTAAATCATATCACAGTCAATCCTAAACTTAAAACTACTAACTTATAATACTGGCCTTTATATATCCGCAATCTATTCGTGTAGAAGTCCGATTAAACGCGATAATCCTATTTTGCCCAAATAAAGCAATGTTTTCTAGATTCCAAGTTAGATGCTGTACATGCTACTGGAGAATGCGCCACAATATCTTAAATTTCAAGAGGTTCAAGTTGATTATTATATTGTTTTTTAGGTGAATGAAGTGTCTTGTTAAAAATTATCAATTATTATGATGATACTCCCGAGTTGAATCCTTGAGAGCCCTAGTGATGCTTTCGGATACTGATTCATAAGCGAAACTTTGATCTTATCTGATTTATATTTTTAAAAAAATTATGAAACAAAATTAAACATATTTAGTAAGTAATAGAGACATAATCAATTCCAGCTCTCATGGACACGATCCAACTGATCCAATCGTTGAGGAGCTTCTTGCCACCGCCCCATATTCAGGTGAGCTCTTGGAAAAATGAAGACAAACACCGTTACGAAGAAAATTGAATTTGTTCACAAAAATGCTGACTAAAATGTATAGCAATTTACTTGAGATCTGGTACTTATGCTTTGAAACTTTTTCAGTTTCCAGATTCTTGACTGCAATATAGTCACAATATTTTATACTCTGCAATAAAATTTAGGTTTAGGGAATTAAATTCAAGCCAAGCTTGCCAATTTTATAATTTCACTTGTTGCTTTATGTTTATTTATAGTTCCTCCTTAGAAATTCAAAAACAAAAAAAGTATTTTTTATTTGTGATATTATTATTTTCTTGTACTTAAATTATTTTCTTCTAGGGTAACTAACTAAAAAAAATATTGTTGTTTTTTATGTTTATGTAGATTAAGGACTTGTAATCACCAATATTTATTGGACGCTCTCTTTAGCAATTTTCTTATTTATTAGGTCAACTCAAAATTATTGAAATGTTTCTAGTCGAAATTGAGAAATTGTTGCTGTGATATTTAGGAACAAAATTATTATTTTTTCGGTTGATTTTTGGCCTAAGCAGATCTGATTTTTATGGAAATTTTAGTGCAATAATTATTCTAACTCTTGCCTTTGAAACCAAAATAGTTTGTATGCGTAACGATTTGTAATAATTGATTATTGGTGTCTACCAGATGAACTATGTTTCGAGTGGTTTAGTTTTTATGGTTTTTACTGGACAGCAATTTTTTTTGTGCAATTTTTATTGAATCATTAAATGATGATACTGAAAGTCTGCATTTTAATTTTTTTATATCAGTGGACTGTGGAGTATTCTGTTTTTGGAACAAAATACTCTGCGAGTACTTGTCTACAAATTTCTCAATTTTTCTAGTTCAATTTTTTTTCTATTCCTGGCTTTTGAATTAGTCAAAGTAAAGAAAATTCAAGAGCCAGGAATAGAAGAAATATGGATGTTTTCTTATAAATACCTTTATCATTTTCTTCTCCATTTTTCTACTTTTATTTTCTATTTAATTCTCAGTTTTTCTGTCTGAGTTTCCATCTATTCGTAGCTCTTGAATTTTCGTTTTCTTCTAAATTTCACTAAATAAAAAAAATTGAAGAGCTTGGGAATGGTCTATTTTGTGTACCGATTTTTTCTCAGTTTCTTTTGAAATACTTTTCTTTATTTCTTAATTTTTCCCACTATTCTCAGCTCCTAAATTTTTGGAAATTTGGAAATTGTTTTGTGTCAATTTTTGTCTATTCCCGGCTCTTGAATTTTCATTTTCTTCTAAATATCTCTGAATAGAGACAATTCAAGAACCTGAGATAGAGAAAGATATGAATATTCAGTCCTCTACCAAAGTTTACCTCTACCAATTTTTTCTAGATTTGAAAAAAAAGAAAAATCAAGAGTCGGGAATAGACAAAGACAAAGTACCTATGAGACGGAAAAACTGAGATTTAGCAGGTATAGGTAAATGAAAAAAAAAATCGGAAGATTAAGAAAAATGAAAATTCAAAAGCCGGGAATAAACAAAAATTGATAGAGAAATATTGAAAAAAAAAAGAATAAATAAATAATAATAATACTTACCTGAATAAATATCAAAAAATTTGCAAGAATATGGCGGCGGGGGTGTGGCTCACTTCTATATTCATATTTAAAATTTGTAAGAATGTGGCGGCGTGATTAAACTATTTGAAAAGGTTTAGTCATTCACTGTAGCTGGAGCCATTGGAAAGAGTTGAAAAGGAAACTACCAATCAAATATCTGACGATACATAAGCCCCGGAAAGGGGCGGAGCTTTGGAGCTTATCTAACCAATTGAATGCCCTGCTGATATCAGTGGCGGCTCTTCCTTAGGTTTGCAGGTTTGCGCAACCCCCAAAACAAAACTTAAAAAATATAAAACAAAAATAGTAGAACTAAATTTTAGTACCTAATTATATTTAAAAAATAAATTATACCAAAATTTTGGGACCTACATAATACACAGTTAATTAATAAAATAATTTCACCAACTTCGCCAAAATATCAATAACTGACAGGCCGCCGGCGACTTCGAGTAGCGGCGTCGAGTCGCTGGATTGCAGCTCCAAAGCAAACCGATCTATTATATGAAGGCGCACATTTGGTTGCCTGTTTTTGCGTGGATTCGAAATCCGCTCCATAAGCTCCAGCAGGTTGCAAGCTAAGTGCAAACTTTGTTTATTTTTTTTGCTCGCAGCGCAGATTAGGTTTGTTTTGTGAAGTTTTGTCGTGTGGGGGTGAAAAAAAAAAAAGAATTCTGTTCAAAATTTAATTGCCGAGCCATTCTGTGAGCGTTCATCAACCGATAAGGCTGAAATAAAAAGACTTTGAAGGCCTACTCCAAATTTAAAAATTGAACAAACTGTAACTAGCAAAAAAAGGACTTTCACCAGGACATTTATTCTGGACCTTCACGAAAAACATGCATGATTGTACAATTGAAATTGCAACCCCCACATTTTTAATATACGAGCCGCCACTGGCTGATATCACTTGCATCTGATTGGAAAGGGGCGGGGCTTATATGCAACCTATCAAATGCTTTGTTGATATGCTTGCGTTTGATAACGAGTCAGCCACAGGGTTGCCAGCTTGAGGGAATTATATCCTTTTTTGGGAAATTTTTTTTGTTTAGTTTCTAGCATAGGATGTACAATATACAGAGTGGTCCATTTAACTGCAGACATTCTGATATCTCGAAAACGTGTTTTTTTAGAAAAAAGTTCAAATGAAAGTTATATGGTGTCACGGTGTTCACATTTTCGAAATATTAGAACGTCTCAATAGACCTATCTATTTTTAATTTTTACCTGGTATGCACGAGCAACACGAGGCAATGCCTTTCTATTGGCTACCTAGTACAGGTGAGAGGTGTTTGTTTTGCACGCCGGGCATCTCCTTGTCCTTGTTCATTGCCCGTGATCTGACAAGAATAGAAGTACGATTGATATTCAACTTGACATAGCTTGACAAGTGACATTCAAAAGTTGTTTGAAATTTTCATTGACAAATACGTTGCACAACACGTAGTCATTCTCTCTCCTTTTTTATCCCGTAGGTACAAATAAGAAGAACTGATTGCTATACGAAAGTCTAACTTTAATTTGGTAGGTTATGCCTCGTCTTGCGCAATGAGCGTTTTGAGTCTCTTTTTATCTAATGGAGTTTTCCTTTCGTATTATTACCTCTTTGTCTAATAAAATAGATCAGGTCTGTTTCTGCAGAAATCACAAACCAGTCAGAGCGAATTTCATTGGGTGGGCCTTGAAAAACATGCATTTTTTAGAAAAGTGACACGTGACACATTTGATAAGTCCTTTTATTTAAAGATTTTTCCCAAAAACTACTTGAAGAAACTGTGCTTAAACTTTAGGGGCCAAATTTATAGTCGCACTCATGACCTTCAACAGTGGCGACGCCAGGGGGGGGCCAGAGGCCGAAATTTAGCTGGCCCCCCCTGAGAACTTGCTCTCATGCCGGCAAAAATGCAATGCAACATCAGCAGCCTGTGCCGGTTAATTCGATATTCGGTGGGCACAGGTAATCGCGACGGTGTTTTCGCTTTCCTGGGATTCCCCCAAGAATCGTAAACTAACAGATGTGGAATTCTGTAACGAATAGAGATATTTTCGCTATTGACGTCCCCTCTCTATTGATTTCGAAAAGAGAGAAAAAGACAGCAAGTGCCATAGCAAAAGGGATAAGGATTTCTATCCGTTACACAATCCCGCCTCAGGATTACTCATCCTCATAAAGCTTACTTTTCATGCATCCGTTTTTCCATCAATTCCATGATCCGGAAGTATTTCTATTGGTCCAATAGGTTGGCGCCAAAATATTGGACCAATAGGCCAGATCATCGGATTGACGGAAAAACGGATGCATGAAAGTAAGCTTTGGTTACTTTTCATGCATCCGTTTATCCGTCAATCCGTTGATCCGAAAGTATTCCTATTGGTTCAATATTTTGGCGCCAGAATATTGAACCAATAGGAATACTTCCGGATTGACGGACAAACGGATGCACGAAAAGTAAGCTAGGCGTACCTACGGTCTCCATTTCTCCAGTCGGCAGGGCCTGCGAGTGACATCACCATTATCAGCAGCTTAAAGCTTAATACTCATAACCGCGAAAGCCGCTCTTTTTTGACATTGCTTCGACGATTTGACGTTTGATTCACGCATAAAATTGTCAATGCAATGTCAAAAAAGAGCGAATTTCGCGGTTATGAGTACTAGGCTAAAGTATAGTAGTGACGTCACCCGCAGGCCTCGATGGGATGCTTGCGATTCAGGTTCGGCTAATGCATTTTACGCCGAAAGTTGAGGTCTGCGGCTGAAATGGTAGACACTTTCAGCTCAATAGGCAGTCTTATAAGGTCAAGTTTTCTTGGGATTCCCCCAAACATATTAGTGTCGACTTCCCATTTTTTATTCCAAAAAAAAAGCAATAAAGTAAAAACAAGTGCCCCTCCCTAAATTTTTCTGGCCCAGTCTGGCCCCCCTCTAATGTAATACCCTAGCGTCGCCACTGACCTTCAAGGAAGAGCCAAGGAACAACTATAAAATTCGGCCCGAAAGTAATCATGAAGATTTTGGAAACCATTGAAGATACACGATGAATCAAATGGGGAAAAAGCTGCGCAATCAAGTGCCTACAAATAATATGAAGACATTTTCATTTTTAATTTTCATTTATTTAATTTTAAAGGATTTTATCAAAAACACTCTTTTTCGCCCTGTATATCCATCCAATGCTATTCCGAGTTTGTCGATACATATCGATATGACAAGTACGTATCGATTTGTACCAAGAGCGTGTTGATATCGATGTATATATCGTATCGATAAGCCCTCCTCTACTTTAAATAAGGAAGGTTCATCATGATGTTCATTCATTATTAAAATAGAAATTTCCCATAAAATCTGCTGTTTTTAATTGGAAAAACACAATAAACCCGGTTCAAATTTTAATTATGCACCTACCACATTAATTTCAATTGAAGAAAATTTCAGTTTAATTTGTACAGGATTCTGCTATTCGAAAGGTAAATACAAACAAAAATACAATGAAAAACCAAATGCTGGCTAATGAAAATTTGAGCCCCGAAATGGGTGTGGGCTCCAGAATAGAGTCCGGGGGCTTTTTTGGTACTGTGAGGTACATTGGGGAATTGCCTGAGCATTCTGGTAAATGGTACGGGATCGAGTGGGACGAGCCAACAAGAGGGAAACATAATGGCACAGTAAATGGGGTACAGTATTTTGAAACAAGGTAAACAAAGCAATTAATTATTACAAGTTTTATATTAAGTTATGTTTAGGTATGCCACCTCAGGCTCTTTTGTAAGAAGAGAAAAAATCAACTTTGGGAAAAACATTATCGAAGCAATTGTAGCTAAATATGGCCAAGAAGAGTGTGCTTTAGTCAAAAAAATCCATGAACAACAAATAAATAATTTACAAAAAACCATTAAAGCACCTTTTATAGAATTTGTAGGCTTTGACAAGGTTAGCACCAAACAAAGGTAACATCATGCATCTGACTTTATTTTCAAACACTAATACAATTATTTTAGTGATTTTGAGTCTCTGGAAATAGTGAGTGTGAGATCTCAAAATGTGAGCAGCGTACAAGGTGATTTGAGAAGTTTACTTCCAAGTATCAGGCAACTAGACTTGTCAAAAAATCTTCTAATTTCCTGGCAACAAATTTTCGAAATATGTGAACAACTGAGTCAGCTTTATTGGCTCAACGTTAGTCAAAATGTTTTTGTATTTCCTGAAAATATCACTCAAGTATTCTGTAATGTTACTGTCTTCATTTGTGGATATATGAATCTCACCTGGCAAGACATTAAAAAATTATCCAAAATATTTCCCAATATAAACGAGCTTAGGGCTAATAATAATAATATTACTTATTTAACCACAGAGGCAAAGAATTGTTTCAATAATCTGGAAATTTTGGATTTGGAAGACAACCCTATATTGAGCTGGGACGAAATTGTTAAACTTAAAAACATAAAAAGTTTGCAAGATTTATCTATTGGCAATATTGGTTTGCAAAAGATTGACTTCAAAACTGAATTAGCAAAATTGGATTATTTTTTTAATTTAACTAAATTGTGCATTAATAATAATTCAATCAATGATGTACGTATTAGTAAATCAAATTCAATTAAATGTTTTGCCTTATTTTTTTTACAATTTCAGTGGACTTCTGTAAGTGAACTAAACAAATTGCCAAACTTAGAAGAATTGAGGTTTCTAAATAATCCAATTTTAAGTACCGAAGAACGTGATACTTCAATTGCCCTTGTGATTGCAAAAATTGGCACTTTAAAGGTAACAATTAAATATGAAAATTTTTAATAATAATTAATATAAAAATTTCAGGTCCATAATGGAAGAAATTTAGTGGGCGAATTTAGAGAAGGTGGTGAATTTAGAAGAGGTTGTGAATATGATTATTTGAAAAAGTACGGAATTGAATGGTTGAGAGTTAAAAATACTCTTGAACAAGCTGAGTTTTTAAAGGAGCATAATAGATATTTGGAACTTATACAACGTAAGAATATTAACTATTATTTCAACTGTATATTATCTTAGTTTTTGAAATAATTGGAAAAAGTTTCAAGTTGATTTTTAAGAAATAGCGGAGTTATAGGCGAAAAAGTGGTCTCGTGTCGGATACCCACAATTTTTTCTGTTCAAAATCGAAATTTCCTTTTTTATTTTTTTTCAGCCTTTAGATGTGCCGCAGCGAGAAGGGTCAAATTAACTTTTCGACGTATTTTTTGCTCCTCTGTCCGATAGAATATTTTTCTAAATTCAGTACATGCAAGGACTAATACGCATTACGTGGACGGGTTAGTTTGGGCTAGTTTGCATATTTTTGGTTAGTTTCATTAAGTGTACTGGACTACTGGTAAACTGGTACACAAGTAAAAAAACAATCCGGTGGGCTTCACATTACGACGCCTAGTTGCTAAAATTATTTGCTCTCGAATTCGTCCTATTTTATCTAATTTATTTCAACCCATACAACTTGGTTTTGGAAGTAAATGTGGCGCAGAAGCCATTTCAGACAGTGCTCGTCGTTTTGTTAACTTTAAACATACTTCAGATAAGGTTTTTTTTTTGAAAATTGATTTTAAAAATGCTATCAATACGGTACATAGAGACATCCTACTGAGAAGAGTCAAAGACTACATTCCAAATTTTTTAAATTTCATAAGTCAATGTTACAGAGACAGTTCAATTCTTTCATTTGGTTCAAATTGCATATCATCACAGAGAGGAGTTCAACAGGGCGATCCATTGGGCCCACCTCTTTTTTGCCTTATCATCTACCCTCTAGTAAATTCTTTAAAATCTGAATTTAATGCTTGGTACCTAGATGACGGTAGTTTGGGGGGTCCTAGTGACACAGTTTTAGAAGATTTCAATAAAATTATTTCAGAATCTGAAAATTTAGGACTGAAAATTAATTTTAGTAAATGCGAATTATATTTTCTAGAAAACATAAAATCGAATGAAAAAATATCAGATTTTAAAAATCTTGCAGAAAATATAGAAATTTGCGATTTTTCAAACCTACAACTACCTACTAGGGTCTTCGTTATCATCAAATTGCATTGAACAGTCTTTAAATAATAAAGTACAAAAAATAGAAAATTTATGCAAAAATTTAAAAACTTTGAATTCTCATTTGGCTTATTTCCTTTTAAAAAACGCTTTAGCTGTACCTAAATTGTCATATATTTTAAGATCTTCGCCATGCTGGTTAGCGAAAAAATCACTTTCCCAAGTCAATCTCCTTTTTAAGCAGACTATGCAACATATAAAAAACTCTACACTTAACGAGGAAGCTTGGTCTCTTGCATCTCTTCCAGTTAGATTTGGATGGAGGACTCGGTATTCGCAATGTTGAAAATCTAACGTTTCCTGCATTTTTAGGTTCACTTAATGACACAGAATATTTAACATCCCTTATACTTCCAAATTATATTATCGATAAAAATTATACAGATTTTGACTTTGCATTGAAAAATTGGCTCAATCTTTATAATCTGAATACTATTCCGTCTCCATGTCCTAAAACTCAAAAAGATTTTGACAATTTTTTTTGTAAAAATTCAATACAATTTAAAATTCAGAATTCTGATAATCCAAAATCAAAAGCTAGACTTTTAGCTCTACAAGAACAAGAGAGTAATGCGTGGCTTTGTGCTTTGCTTTCTCCTCCATTGGGAACGTTATTAGATGATTCCACTTTTCGCATTTCCGTTGCCCTTCGTTTAGGTCAACCGGTGTGTGAACAACATACTTGCACTTGCGGACAATTAGTTGATATTCTGGGTCATCATGGCCTGTGCTGTTCCAATAGTGCTGGTAGGTTGTCCAGACATCGGTTCATAAACGAAATTCTGCACAGATCTTTGGTTGCAGCAGATACTCCTAATAGCCTAGAACCAATTGGTGTTTGTAGAAGTGACGGAAAAAGAGTAGATGGTTTGTCATATTTCCCTTGGAGAGAAGGCAAACAATTGATATGGGATGTAACATGTCGAGACACATTAGCTGAAAGTTACATTTCAAGAACTAGCAACAAAGCTGGGGAGGCAGCTTTTTTTGGGGAGCAACAAAAGAGATGCAAATATAAGGAATTAGTGGAGAAATTTGTTTTTGTTCCTTTTAGTGTTGAAACCTTGGGACCCTGGGGTGTAGAAGCAAAGCACCTTGTTAATGAGATTTCTGCATGAATTAAACATTCTGGCAAGAGGTCATTAACAAGGAGCTTCATTGTTCAGCTTATTAGTTTGGCTATTCAGCGGGGCAATGCTGCTTCGATCATCGGGACTATCCCGTATCAGTCAGGTTTAGAAGAGATATTTTATTTTTTATTCAATTCATTTTTTTTTTTTTATGTATTTTATTATTTTATTAGTAAAATAAATCGATTATTAGCTAAAAAAATCCGGACGAATAATAATATAATAATAATCTGGAAATTCTGGGCTAATGAAAAAAATATTCAACTGGAAGATCCGGGTGATCAGGGGCACCCTAACAATAAAGCTATTTTTTTTCTTCTTGAAGAGAAAAATTGTAGTATCTTGTGTTCAATTTTAGGATATGGTGAACTAGAACTGGGCGAACTTCAATTAGAAGACACGACCAAATTGAAAAACTCCCTTATTACAATCAAACTTTTTTGCCAAGAGCGCATAGTAACGAAAAAGGTGTGCCCATCGATGCAGGTGCAAAAACTCAAAATTTTAGTACAAAAATTGTTCAAATTGTCAGGAGAATTTGAATTAATTTGCGAAGCTTGTGATAGTTTTCAAGTAACTTTAGATGATGAATCCAAGGGGCTGAATTATTTTAGCGTTAAAGATAACGATACGATAATTGTAAAAATATGAGATTTGTTTATTTTAGCTTAACAAAATGTGATAATCTGCGTTGTATAATAATATTTATATTTTTCACCATGAATAATTTGAATTAAAAGAGAGTTTTTGATACAAATTGGGTTTTTATTTGCGTTTCATAAAAGTGAGGGTTTTCAAGAAAAAAACATAAAAAAATGGTTTTATTTTCAGTCACAAAAGGAAAAAAGAAAGTATGAGCTAAAAATCCTGGGGTTATTTTAAAAAAGAAGTTTTTGGCCCATGAGGGGATCGAACCCGCGACCTTCGCGTTATTAGCACGACGCTCTAACCAACTGAGCTAATGGGCCAGATGGAAAAGTTTAGCAAAATCTACTTTATTATTTATGAAATCATTGTCAAATCCTGAATTTAATGGTGGTTTTATACAGACATGAGACTGAGACATGCGATTTTTTGAACTAAACCATCATATACTGCCTTAAATTTTTAATGAAACACCCTGTATACCGGGTGATTCTCAGATGACGCTCGTCCCTGTAACTTTTTTATTTTTTAAGATTTTGCATCTCATATTTTGGTAGAAGGTATAATAGTCATTGGTGTGCATTGTTTCACATAATAAGTACCGTTCTGATACTTCCGGTTTCTCTGGAAACGACCCTAACTTTGAAATTTTAAATGGAACACCCAGTATATTTTTAGATATTTAAATTCGCCTCTTTATTCTAAATATGAAAATGTATATCAATATATAATTTTTTGACATTTCTGAAACCGAAATTACCAATTCGCACTTTTCATCTAGCGTGACATGAGTGACATTAATTGGTAGGTTTTGTACCCAAATAAGTGTTAAAATTATTATTTATTTTTATTATTGCAAAATGCAACTTCTACAGCCATTTGAAATTTTCAAATGCGTAAAAGTTGATTTTTTCTTATGGAAAGGGTATTGGCTCACGGAATCAACTAAACAACTTTTTTCCGACTAATAGATTGATACTATACAATAATGTCTCCTTTCATAAACTTCTGCTAGATTCTTAACTTTAATTTTTTGGAATAAAATCTTTGAAATCACCCTCGTCGTAATACAAGTTGATTACCTTAAATGACGTTAAGCACCTTCTTTTATTAGAAATCTGACACAAGTTGAAGACTAATTTCGTATTCAAGCGTTTTTTTTTTTTCTGTGAAAGAGAAATAATGAATTTCACACGCAGCGAAAAGATTGACATGATTTTAGTATTCGGTGGGTGCAGGCAGATTGCGACACACGCAGCTCGCGCATACGCTGCGAAATATCTAAATCGTCGCCACCCAAGTCGACATTATTTTCCCAGATTGATAGAATTCATGAGGACTGAATCAAATAACGTTAACAGATCATTCGTTTCAAATGAGGAAAAGGAAGTTGATGTGTTGGATAGGGTTGCTGTAAATAAGGTAGCTTCAACGAGAGAAGTCGCTGCAGAATGCGACAGAAGTCAGGTTTCAGTATGGAGAATTCTCAATTGACGTTTTCAATTAAAAGAGATAAACAATAAAGTATGAAAACAATCATTTTCCCGCCAACATTTGCTTGCTTTGCTTGTCAATGCCAGTATGTATTGGGCGTTTTGAAAGAAAATGTGGGAAAAGTCACTACTTCATTTGCAGAACTTCGCTATGGAGAAAGCGGTGGATTATTTTGGAAGAAAACAGCTCCAGCAAACTGAACTTGAACGTGGATTAATTTGTATACTTGATAGGCCGCGGATTTCCCTTTTTTTTGCGAGTATTCTTTCTGATTTTATGTATCCAAAATTTGACAAATGTAGGATTTAATGGAAACTTATGGAGAGTCACGTCCGCCGGTAAATAGAAATTATTTTTACAAAAAGGCACACTACACAATCACCATTGTTAGGAAAATACTTTGAAAAAACCGAAAAAATAATAGTTTCCAGTTTCCACCGTTTCCACATGTACAAAAATCTTGTCAACAAACCACTGTCAGCGGCTGTCAACCGTTGTTTTCATACTCTTTTGGCGTCTGACAGTTTGACGCCAGAGAGAGAGGTTTTTAAATTGAAAAGGTCAATAAACAAAAATTCAAGTTATTCAAATACCTGCTACATCAGCACTTGTATCCAACTGATTATGATCGACGCCTTGAATATTGCAACTGGTATTTACAAAAGTACAGAGAAAATAACAGATTTCCATCCCAAATATTGTACTCTGATGAGAGTCGTTTTACAAATTTCAGTGTGTATTAAAGCCTGTTCACACTACATGCAATCTCGTGCAATGCAATAATTTCTTGCCTGAAGGCATGCGCACTTTGTTCTTTTTCGATAAGCTGATGCAATTTTATTAGGCCTATTCGGGTTTGGAAAAAGTACGGTTCTAGAACGGTCCAGAAGAATCGCACAGTTTATTATTGAAATTTGTGATCGTCGAGTCGTTGTTATTTTGTTGATCAATAAACTGGACGATTGTCAAGGGCGGTTTAAAGGGGGGGGTAGAGGGGGTAATTACCCCCCCCAGACAAAGATTTTTTTTATACATTTATTAATTACAACAAAATTTCAACAAAAGACAAAAGACAAGTTTTACAAAGTAAAGGATTACAGCTATCGTATGAATATGATAGGCTCACCAGTACCTACGTACCTACCAAGGTTCTTAAAATTCATAGGTTGTCTGGTAATGGGTAACTTGATGACGCATCTGGGATGCCTTATGCAAATTTGCATTATGTTGAGGCATCCCAGATGACGTCATGAAGTTATCAGGCAACCTACCTCTCTCAAACAACCTTGCGTACCTACTACTATACAGTGCTATGGTTGTTTGAAAGGTCTGGTTTTGTGTACAGTATTGCGAACACCCTCTAGAATGTTAACAACAGATTTTCATAGGACCACGAATTAAATGTAAGTAACGTACGTCGTTTTTAAAATGACACTTTTCGTATGAGGAGCGCGGAGGTATTTTTTAAAAACGGTTGAGTTTTGGTATAGATGATTCCTAACAAAAAGTATGTAGGATTTTTAAAACGATAGAATGTACCTACTAAAATATAGGGTGTTCCATTTAAAAATAATAAAGTTCTGTCGCATACCACATTTACAGAGAACCCTGTATATTTAAAAATATTTTTAAGTAATGCACCTTAGAGAATCAAACAACTTTGCATTTTTATTTATTTTTTCTTGCATCACCCTGTAAGAAGATATCGTCCGGTATCGCACTAAGTGGACACCCTGTTTAACTATATTGACGGCATCGGGATATATTTTTGCCCGAAGCGTGTTTTTTAAACCACTTTTGGGTTGGGATGGCAAAATAAAAAAATATATCGATATATCGAAACAACATATCGATACATTCGATATATCGAACGAAAAACATGGATATTTTGAATATATCGATAGATATTTTATTTTTATTTTTTTTCTACGATCGTGTGAAAAGTGCTTTTTTTCTTCAGGCATTTTAGGTCATGAAACTATCACTTTTCCGCACTAGTTTGGAAAATGGAAAAGTAGAATAATTATGCAATGTTAGGTCACCCTGATACTTTCATGCCCTAAAATGCGTGCAGAAAACTACTATTCCGCACGATTGTAGAAAAATAACGTTGCCAATCATGCGGAAAGTCTCTTTTCCTCATTCAGTTGGTACGTACATGGTATTTGATTATATTTGGCACCATACCTGCAGCCTTTACTATTTAAGATAGAAAAAAATTTTAAATATAAAACTTGACAGTTTTTTTCTATATTTTCTTTGACAGTATCAGAAAAAACAAAATCGCATCGGAAAATGGAGAAACGTAGGCAACTTCTACTTTTTTCAATGGAACACCCTGTATATTATGCGATAAAATTAAACATCTTTTCTTCCTGATTCCAAATATATATGTACTGATCATATTTGAGTGAATCGTTTTTGATATATCTTGGCTTAAATTTTAAATAAAATCCAAAGGAATTTTATGAAGATTTAAATGTCTTGACATCCCCATGAAATTTCTTTGCAAATTAAAGCTAAAATATTTCAAAAACGGCTCACTCAAATGTGCTAAATATATATATATTTGAAATCAGGAAGAAAAGATCTTTAATCTTATTGCATAATATACAGGGTGTTCCATTGAAAAAAGTAGAAGTTGCCTATGTTTCTCCATTTTCCGATGCGATTTTGTTTTTTCTGATACTGTCAAAAAAATATATAGAAAAAAACTGTCAAGTTTTGTATTTAAATTTTTTTTCTATCTTAAATAGTAAAGGCTGTAGGTATGGTGACAAATATAATCAAATACCCTGTACCCTGTCATTTTTTATATTTTCCCACCTTCTTAACTTTTTTGTGTCACTGTGTATAAAAAAAAATTAAATAGGAAAGTTGTAGTGCTTGAAAAATAGTTCTCAGACAACATAGTTTATACAGGGTGTTGCAAAAAGTTTAAAAAACAAAAAAATATATTTTTTTTAAATGGGACACCCTGTATATTATGACATTTCTGGATTCTGCGGAAAATTCTAGACATATTTCATGTATAATGTCATATACCTAACTTCAACTGTTTCGGAAATAATGACAGTAGAAAATTGACTTTTTTGCATCTTTGACAGACTGTAAAACCTAAACCGTTGATTTTACGGCAAAACCGATCATACATGCTTTTCCTATTTTTTTTATAAAATATCATTTGACACCAACTTTTTTAATCCATGATTGAAAATTCCAATTAAATTTAATCTCCGGTTAAATTCAAAGTTGGTGTCAAATGCTGGCTTATGAAAAGCTGTCGAGAAGAATGTAAAATCGGTTTTGCTATAAAATTAACAGGTAAGGTTTTACAGTCTATCAAAGTAGCAAAAGGGTCAATTTTCTACTGTCATTATTTCCGAAACAGTTCAAGATAGGTATATGACATTATACATGAAATGGTCTAGAATTTTCCGCAGAATCCAGAAATGTCATAATATACAGGGTGTCCCATTTGAAAAAATATATTTTTTTATTTTTTAAACTTTTTGCAACACCCTGTATGAACAAAACTATGTTTTCTGAGAACTATTTTTCAAGCAATTCAACTTTCCTATTTAAATTTTTTTCATACACAGTGGCATGATATATCGAAAAGATTGTATCGATATTTTTTTCGATATATCGAATGTAAGATATCGATTAAAATATATCGATATATTTCAGTAATATATCGATATTTACAAAATATCGATATATTTTTGCCATCCCTACTTTCGGGAGCAAATTTGGGCGTGGCACCCCAAAAAAAATGTCGCCTCCGGCGGTACGTATGTTGTGACACTTGATGATTTTCCATCCATTACCCCCCCCCAGAAAATCATGTATGGACCGCCACTGACGATTGTTTTGAACCGTTCTAGAACCGTCCTTTTTCTAAACCCGAATAGGCCTATTGCATTGCATGGAATTAGGACTTGCGCTAATTTTATTGCACGTTGCGTGCCATTTTCGTCAAATTTGTGTTTACTTCCCTCACCTGCGGGTTGGTTTGGTTTGGTTTGTTGCAAAAATTAATATTAATTTGCAAAATCCAAAAATGAAATAAACGTACGTCGCTTCTTGAACCAATCGACGTTCGTTTTTGTTGGTAATTTTTTGTTTCATCTGATTCGTGATTGATAAATAAGGATGGAATTATTCTAAATGGGTATTAAAAATAGTATACCTATGTGGTAGAAGGCATAAAATTGCATGTGCAGCTGACTGCATGCCATTTTTAAAATTGCATTGCATCTAGTGTAAACATCGTTTCAGTGTATTTTTGCCTTATTTTTTTTGTCAAGACAAATTGGATATGTTAAATTTCTAATAAAAGGTGGTTATCATTCAACATTATTTCAGGGTGATTAACTTGTTTTACGAGGGTATTTTCAAAGTTAAGCAATCTAGCAGAAGTTTAAAATGAAAGAAAATATTATATTGTTTAGTATCAATCTATTAGTCGGAAAAAAGTTGATTAGTTGATTCCGTGAGCCACTACCCTTTCCATAAAAAAAAAATCAACTTTTACGCATTTGAAAATTTCAAATAGCTGTAGAAGTTGCATTTTCCAATAATAAAAATAAATAATAATATTAACAGTTATTTGGATGTCACTCATGGCATGCTAGATGAAAAGTGCGAATTGCTAATTTCGGTTTCAGAAATAGAAATGTCAAAAAATTATATCGATATACATTTTCATATTAAGAATCAAATGGCGAATTCAAATATCTAAAAATATACTGGGTGTTCCATTTAATATTTCAAAGTTGGGGTCGTTTCCGGTAAAACTGGAAGTATCAGAAAGGTACTTAATATGTGAAAAAATGCACACCAATGACTTATACCTTCTGCCAAAATATGCGATGAAAATCTTAAAAAATAAAAAAAATACAGGGACGAGCGTCATCTGAGAATCACCCTGTATATTTAGTTATCATCAGATCAAATTTTGAAATTTTAGGATCCGGCAATTAGGTATACGTATTACCTATGTGATTTTTTTTTAAATCTCTTAATTCTCCCAGAACAAACTGCATCTCGTTACCTATTTTTTCTCGTTTTCGAGATATTTACCTGCAAAATGTATCAGTTTATTTAAGGACACCCCGTATTTTATTATTTCTTATTTTTTATATGTTCAGGCCTATTCAATCTTTACTTTCAGAGCATCTCATATTATTATAATCAGTCTGATAATTTTAATACCCGTTTTCAAAAATAGCCACCTATTTGTATATGGGTTTAATATCACAGAGTATTTATCTCCCTGTTGAACCATATATGGTGGATATTTATTGACTCTAAAAATTGTCTTAGGAACAGTCATATCCATATCAAATACCTATTTCATAAATCATACCATATAAAAACGATAAAGCCTCATCTGCTTTACAACACCGATAAAGAATATTCCAATCCACCTCTAGCAAAAGTTGATACATCATCATTGGGAGATTTACTTTTTTGAAATTATATTGTGCATTATCTCCAAGTTTGATTTTGTTTTGTATTATCTGCAGGTCTGCTACGACCAGCAGAGGATTATGATGTTCATCAACCTTTGCAAGAGGTTCCTCTGACTTCCATACTTTACAATTTACATTTGAGACTAATACATTTAGTATTTTACCATTTCCATTTTTTATGTTATTAAATTGCTGAAAACCTGTGAAATCTAAAAAGTAATTAAACATTTTTTGTTGTTGGGTGTTTAGAATCATCCAGATGCGGTACATTCAAGTCACCAATTATTATACAGTTCCTATTGAAATCATTTGATATAATTTTATCTTCAAACACTTCAAAAATATTCTCATACACTGCTGTAGCCTTCCCAGGCGCTATACATTGCTCCGTGCACAACAAGGTCACACAGTAGAATATCTAGATCTGGAACATTGTAGTCTATGATTCTCTCCTTAAATTCTATATGTTGGCTTCTCTGATAAGTAGCATTAAACCAACCTGCTCGTTTTTTTACTGTTTTCTGTTTGTCTCTGTTCAGTCACTTTAACATATTAACTAAATTAAAAAGAAAAAACGCAAATTTCTATAATATGTACTTGATTTATTCAAACCAAAAAAAACATATATAAAACACAATTAGGTACATGAAATTGTTCAACGAAATTTTAAAACATAATAAAATTGTTAGGATTTTTTTTTTTCTGTCACCCAAATTATTGAAAAATGTAAAAAAAAAAAATTGAAATCTTAACTAAATGAATGTAAAGGCAAACAAATAAAGCACAGGAGAAGATTAAGTATTTCTATCTTTTTTTTTTCATATACATATTTCAGAAAAAATACTAAGTTTACCAATTATTTCATTCAACTAAAAAGATCTCTTCATATGGTCAAAGTTAGTCCATACAAACAATTCATTTTTTGATTCAATATTGAACTATTGTTGCCTAATAAATTTGCACTTTACAATCATCACAGTTCAAGGTTGGGCCAAACAATACTGCACCAGCCTGATCACAGAGCATCCTATATTTTGATTTGTACCTAAAAAAGCAATTTTTGTATTAAAACCATAAACGATGTAATAGAGAAAGTGTAGCCCAACCTTCAAATTAGATAATACCATTTAATATTTTGAAATCTTAAAATTAAATTAGTTTCGGAACAAAATATGAGAGAAAATTACAAAAATAAATATCAATATGCAATATGATTTTAAAATAAACAGTCCTAACCCAAAACAATAATTATAAAAACAAACCTTAATTATAATTGAATTTGTAATATATTTTATAAAAGAAATTGTTCATAGAAATATTATGTCTAAATGAACAATTTCCTTTAACCAATAAGTTGATTTAAGAATACATAGGTATTTGTATAAGGGCCTGACCCACAAGAATATCACAGTTAAACGCCTCACAATCGGCGGACTCAAACCTGTATATTGGGTCACAATATACAGGCTTTACTATTCTATCCGGATTACTGTTGTGGACAATCGACCAATTATTGGCCGATTTGAGCAACAGCGCCGGATAATTAAATCATAGGCAAATATCAAAAAAACTTTCATCGTTTTTTTCCGGACGCCCAATTTCATATAAAAAAATTCTACATTCTATGGATCAGACCAAAAAAGCCTTAAAATACTACTACTTACAATTGTTGATTATTTAGAGCCAATACAAACAACTATTAATTTAAAAATAAAATCAAAATTCTCTTGTTTAATGGAAACTGTATAATTAGTATGCGATAGGGATGGTATAAAAATTAAAAAAATGATTCATTGTCAGTCTAATACTGGCTCCTCATCTATACAAGTATACAACATGCTTAGTTGAACATTAATGTCTTAAATGAGTATGTAGCTTTCGGAGTTCTATTCAGTGAACTTGATTTATCAAACTCAATTGGTATTCAGTACCAATAAATATTGTAAGCAATCAGTGATATATATATTTTTTTATTTGCAAAGTATGCAGTTTTTGCAGAATTTTTCAAATAAAGCCAAATAAGTAAATTCGAGTTTGATTAATCTTCTACAAAGTTGCCACTTTTTATATTATGTGACAGTGCCATCCGTGAATATCTGGGTTTTTAGGCCTTGTACCCTTTCGGTAGGTACTTTCAGAGAGATGATTAATTACATCCCACTTCATTATAAAATTTTAAAAATTCTCAACAATTATTTTACAAAAAAAAGTCCGAAATTTGTGCCACATCCAACTTGCAATGTTCACAGATGGTATTTTGTTTATTCCTTGTATAATCCTAATAGATAATTAACATCTAACGTTTGGTTAAGTTTGAATGTTTTTCCATTCAGAGGCCCGTTTGATTTCCAACTAAATTTGGTAAGAAAATAAAAAATCCAAATGAAAAAAACTAGGCCTCATTTTATTAAACTAAAAATGTCTGTGGCTATCAAAGCCCTTTTCCACTTAACAAGATGTTAAATCAATAAAAATACGACATAAATATTGAACCTAAAAAACATCCAATACTAGCCAAAATATTATTTATTTTTACATATTTTTATTTGTGTTATACAACAGAGCTATTAGTTTGACTTATGGCCTAAATATCTGAATAGTAGCTCGATCCAAGCTTCGAATTCCGCGCTATCTCACTGCCTCACTCATTCTTACTTGCCTCCACAAACTCCAATCTCAATTATATACTCACTGATACTACTTTCTATGTACAATGCCTAACAGATGGTTGCATTCATAGTATCTATCGTACCGTTCGACGCACAGCTTTTTTTATTTTTCTTTGAGGAGCTGATGTACCTTCTTGAGCTGGAGGTGCACTATAAAAAAAAAATATCAGTAACACAAACTTAGCAAACAAAGGAATTTTTACTTACGAAAACGACGCTATAGCAGCACCCCCAGTAAAATTAAATGATGGTTTTGAACTTGCTTCCAGCGCTGGTGTGGCGGAATTAAAATTAAAACCTCCTGGAGCAGAGGCACCCTAAAAATTTTAAAGTTTGAGAAACCATGATTCAAATTAAGAGGAAAATATGAAATATATTTGACACACTAATACAAAAGTGATTAATTAATTGACTGAATGAAAAATAAATGACTTCCATAAAGATGTAGAATGTTCTTCAACAAAAAATACAAATTAAATCAAAAAATAACAAACTCAAAACTCTTACCCCAGATCCAAAATTGAAGCCCGCATTTTGACTAGCACCAAAACTGAATCCGGTCGCTTTCTGCTCTGAAGCACCGAAACTGAAATTCCCATTCACAGGCGCAGGAGGATTTTGAGGAGCTCCACCAAACAAATTTCCAGCCGAACCAAAACTGGCAGGTTTTTGGTTGGCGCTGAAGTTGAACGCAGGTGCTGATCCAAAAGTGGGTTGTTGTGGTTTCACTGGAGCAAAAGAAAACTGATTTGCAGGCTTGTTTTCTGGTGCTGCATTGAATGAAAACGTTGCAGGCTTTGAATCAGCGGTTTTGCCAAAGGAAAATGTACCAGGCGATTGAGTGGGCTGAGCTGGAGTTGCAAAACTAAATGGCTTAGTTTCTGCTGGTTTAGCACTAAAAGCTGCAGCTGGTGTAGAACCAAAGCTGAAACCATTAGATGGTTTAGCAGGGCTAAAAAAAAATTTATTTATTATCAAAAGCAAACAAACTAAAAAATCAAATACCTTGATGCAAATTTAAATGTTTCTTGTTTTCTTGAACTATCAGCATTACTGCCAAACATTGGTGCACTGGGGTTTGCAGTGCCAAAGCTAAAGTTTGCTGTTGGTGCAACAAATGGTGTATTTTTGTTGCTCACATCACCATTAGGGGTCAGATCAAAAGTGGGTATTTTGGCTTGAGGCGCTGAATCCTCTTCTCTTGTACGTTTGGTGGGTTTATCTGATTTTGCTTCTGTTATCGCTGGAGATTTTGGTAATCCAAAACTGAAGCCCACAGGAGCAACTGTAGCTTTTTCGGGCAACTTTTCACCAGGTTTCAATAGGGGATTGATTCTTTGTGTGTTTTCAGTCTTGTTGGCACTTCCAAATGAAAATGTGGCAGCAGCAACTTGCTCTTGACTCTTTGTGGGTGTGAAACTAAAACTAGGTGTACTTGTTTTTTGCTCTTCTTCACTCTTGGTGGTTGTTTCACTTTTACTTGCAGATCCAAAACTAAATGTTGGCGTAGATTTACTTGAAGTAACTTCAAAAGGTTTTGATGTAGCTTCACTTGACCCAAATGTAAATGTTGGTTTGACTTCATTAGTTTTTGATTCCAAGCTTAAGCTAACATTTTCAGCTTTGTCACTAGACTCTTTCTTGGATTCAGCTTCTTTAGCAGGAACTCCGAAGCTAAATGTAGTAGTTTCACTTGCTTTTACTTCTCGTTTTTCCCCAAACACCTGAGACGCGTTTGTTTTGGGGGCATTCTGACTTGCAGGCGGTATGCCAAAGCTGAAAGCTGCGCTGCCACTATAATCCATACCAAAACTAAAAGCAGGAGTTTTATCAGCTGGTTTATTGGGATTTACAGATCCACAGCACGGGCATTTGTCTGCACTGGCATCATTTTGCACCATGCATGATCCACATTCCCATTGATTTGGTTTCTTTTTAAAATCTGATCCAAAGCTTTTAGTTTGTGGTGCAGATCCTGGTTTAGGTACAGTACAAGCAAGACAGCTTGATAATTCATTTTTATTCATAATCATGCATGAAGGACATTCCCAACTCTCTGCGGCTTTATTAAATTTATTTCCCCAAGAATTTGTAACAGGTAATTCAAAACTAGCCTCTGTTGTTGGTTTAGGAAATAATGTGCTTTTATTTGATTCATCATTAGATTTCCCAGGTTTGCTTTCTTGACATGCAGCACATTTTAAAAGTTCATCTTGGTTTCTAATCATACAAGTGGGGCATTCCCAAGAATTGCCCACTAGTTTCAGCGTAATTGGTGTTGTAATTGGAGTGTCTGTTTTAGGTTTTATTTTGGGATTCTGACAAGCGGCACATTTGAGTTTTTCAGGCTGATTTCGTATCAGACATGTAGAGCATTCCCAGGAGCCTTCCTTAGGTTTGAATTTTTCTATTAAACTATCATTGTTGATATCTCCATTAATTTTTTTCGTTTTATGTGTTTCCACAATTATATTTTCTTGATCATTCAGTTCCGCATGTATACTTTTCCTTTTTTTAATTAGAGGTTCACTAAATGTAAAGTTATTCAATGCCTTGAGTGGTTTTAAACATTCTGCAAGCACTAAAGGAGCAGAAAACCTAAATTCATCATTTTGTGCCAACAATTTTGATGCAACTGGTGTGGATTCAAATTTCTTGGCCACATCTACTGTACTACTAGTACTGGTAATGGCACTTGGGGCTATAGTGGGTGGTGGCAATGTAGGAAAATCAAATTTAGGCAATTCTTTTATAGGCAAACTAATTGGATTTAATTTAACTTCAGGCACAGGTTCATCAATATGCATTTTTGATCTTACAGATGTAATTTTAGTTTTCATTTTGGATGTGAATTTTTTGTTTTCGCTTTGCACAGGTGGTAACTGATAACTATTGTCACTATTTGTAATGGTACTAGGTGTTGCAGCTATTTTCCTTACAGCTTCTGTAGAGTCTTGTAATATTGTTTTTTGCTCGGTCATTTTTCGTTTTAAAGTGTCTGTTATAGAGGGTACATGCAATGCCTTGTTGGGCGCGTTTCTTGTATCCCTGACTATATATGGGTTAGCTCCAATAAATTTAGTAAGGCTGCCTTCAGTTCTACGTTTTTTAGAAGCCACTGGTATTTTTTTAGCATCACTTATGGGCGAGCTATATTGTTCCAGAGTGTCCATAATTTTCCTAGCTGTTCTGCCAAGTCCTAAATTGCGCCTCTCAAAGCCATTACTAACCGGTTTGAATTTGGTGCTTTTTTTTAACACTTTTTGGAGGTCTTGTGGGGATCTTCCAGTATTTCTACCGTAGGCTGAGGCTCCACCATAAACTGTTTGCCCATTGTAAAAGGGAGAGCTGAGAATTTGTTTGGTAGATGTAGTTCTGTTGGCAAAACTTGAAGAGGCGAACGTTGAAGGGTTGAATGAGGGATTACGATTGCTTAGGCTTGACACTCTGTTGCTAGGAATTGTTTGGTTTGTGAAAAGGCCTAGAACCAATCAAGAATATTTATTTATTTATTAATTTATTTACGCATAAAAAAATACATACATTTGAAGTGGTACAAAGTTTAATTCTAAAATAATTTAAAAAGCTAACCTAATAGCTGAGTCAATCTGGGGGGTCAGGGTGCAACAAATTAGCAACAAGCTGATTCCAGTGGGAATGTTTAGTAAGTGACCTCTTATTTAACCTCCCAAAAGTCCCATTCAGTCCTAGGGGTGGAAGGTTGAAAAAAATGGCCACCATCTTGGATTTTGTTGTTTTTTTCAAATATCTCAGTTTCTATCAGTTTTTTTAGAAAACTCGAAAAACCTTTTTTGTGGAAAATTTAATTCTCTATAAAAAGTGTTCATACCGTTTTTTTGTAACTTAAAGGATAACGGAGATACAGAGCTTTTTATAGTAAATATTTCAAACATTTCTTTACTTTTATCCCTTTCGAAATGTTTAGAAAAGATTTCTCCTGTTCCACCTCCAGCAAAAAGCGCTGGGAATGCTAGAGGTGGAACCGAGGAAATCGTTTCCGTTCTCTATTCAACCTTAGACTTTCTTTAGACATTTTATTCTATCGCATTAAAATTGATATGCAAGATGTTTAGTTGCCAGGCATAGGACTTGGACATGAATGCAACAAGTTTTTTATTAGAATCCAGAATGGCTTTGCAGGTGTCTTCCAGCCCATTGGATAGCACAACTCTTTTTTTGGTTTTGAGCTTTTCCATCTTTGCTTCGAATTCGTGAAGTCTTGAGCTAAACCCCGGTAGTGCTTGGAAACAGTCCATACAGCTTGGACAACAAAAATATCTTAGGCAGCGTTCTTTCATTATCAGAACTCGGATCTCAGAGATCCTTACTCCAGAGCAATTTCTGCATAGAATCTTGCGACAAATGTCACATGGTTAGCCAAAAAGCTAATTTTAGTCTTCCTTTTGGAAGCAGGCCTTATCACAGGTAGACCCATATCAGGATTGATTATGGTAGGAATAAAATTTAATACAGAATGTTTATTTGGCTTAGGCCCGGTTCATTCATCTTCAGATAAACTTGCTGGTAACTATCTGAAAGATAAATTTATTGTTCTATTATTCTATTGGTTGGCGGATAACTGGCCAACCAATGAGATTACAGATTGGGTTTTTATATCGTTCTATTATTCTATTCGTTGGCGAATAACTGGCCGACCAATGAGATTGCAAATTTTTGTGCTGCTGATAAGTAATACAAATTGTCTTTTTTTTCTATTCCTATTTGAGTCCCAATAATTAAACTGGATTTGTTGGCTTATCAAGAATGAAGTCCAGAACAAGTTTTACAAGGTTGAAAAAATCACAATTTCACAAACAAAATAACTCCACACACGATCAATATGACCAATAGAGACCCATAAAAACTTGCAATTTATACAGAGCGAATATACTACTTACTTTGGTGGATCACTTTTTTGGATCTTCAACAAAAGTGAAAAATTTATAAATCAAATTCTAAAAAAAACCATATCTCCGTTATCCGTCATGGTCCAAAAAAAATGTACAGACACTTTTTATAGAGAATTAAATCCTCCACAAAAAAGGTTTGTTAAGTTTTCTTGAAAAAACCAATAGAAACTGAGATATTTGAAAAAAACATAAAAATCCAAAATGGCGGCCATTTTTTTCAACCTTCCACCCCTAGGACTGAATGGGACTTTTGGGAGGTTAAATAGGAGGTCGGTTACTAAACATTTCCGCTGAAATCAGCTTGTTGCTAATTTGTTGCACCCTCATCAATGTTATGGAGCTATGTTTATCCTACTATAAAGCAATTTTCTTCGCCCACATCTTGAATTTATCTTGAGATAAACTAAAAAAGTCAAGACCTTCATAGAACTTATTTATATTGGCAGGTATTCTATCAACAAGACTGAATAGGGGTCTGGTACGCTTTCCGGACACACGATTTTTGGCATTTTTTCAATTTTAATAAATAGAGGGTCTTTAATAGTATTTTCCAAAAGAAAAAAATGCGGAATATTCAGCCAATTTTCAGGAAAAAAAAATTCATTGAAAATTTCAATTTTAAATTGTTAAACAATGTTATACCTATTTATTTATTTTTTTATATTTCTCGGGACTATTTTGTAAAATATATTTATTAAGTACTATCTAGTAAAACAATTTCAAAATAAACACACAACAAAAACATACAAAAATATTAACAAAAAATAAATATTTACAAGGTTCTATAACGTTCCGCTAGTTGACTAATTAGATGCGTCATGCGTTCCCTTGATCGAGAACCATAAAAAGAATTCCACATAAATTGGTCAATATATTCGGGCAAAAAAGGTGAACTCATGACGCACAATCTTCACAAGAACCCTTTTAATTGGGACCATTACCCTTCAACATAATTGGTACAAACATCAGTAACAGGATCACGAAAATATCAACTGTACGATGTATATATCCATGATGTTGAAGAATATTATACCCTCTCCACTCATCAATGCCTGGTGCAACAATGTTTCGGATAATTGGAATTAATGTTGCCGCTGGCCTATTGGGGACATATTGAATATATCCCTTTTTGGTCGTGGTATCAAAAATTCCAATTACCCATTTTTGTTGCACCAGACTTCCTCTGTGGTATTTCCTTCTAGTTATCACACTTTCGTCAATTTGGACTACATGTCCAGAACATCCTCCTAAAATATATACAGTACAACCTCGATAATCCGAACTAATTATTGCTAAGGTCAGTAAATTCACCTTAAATATGCAAATAATCAAAAATAAGCTTTATTTTTTTAAACAAATATAAATGTACGTAATTAACTCTGAGTTTAACTTTGGTTAGACGAGTAAAACAATTATGTTATGTACTTTTTTTGCTTCATACTGGCTGTTTCTCCCATTTCTGCCTTCTTTTTCATTTCTTTGAGGGCCGGTTTATTCACTTTTTGATAAATTGTCAGATATGCAATCTGACGGATAAAAAGGCAATCTATAATCCTATTGGTCGACCAGTTATCCGTCGACCAATAGAATTATAAAACAGTAATTTTATCTTGTAGATAGTTAGGTATCAGGAAGATGAATAAGCCGAGGTTTAGAATAAAAATGTTCTCAGCTGTTTCAAAATTTTGTTCTACTCATTTTAAACAAGTCTGAAAACATTTTACTGCTTCTCTGTGAGTCACCTTGGTCAGTACGATTTCTTCAGATTCTTCTGATCTGGCTTTGAGAACATTATTACGTATTAAATTTTACATAGCGCGCGTAATGCGGTTTTCAGCAGTTGTTCGGATTATCAAGATTTGTTCGGATTATGCCTGCGAGTGTTCGCTGTTCGGATTAGTGGAGGTTCGGATTAACGCATGGTCGGATTATCGAGGTTGTATTGTATTTAAATTAACTTTTCATTTTTTTTTTTGAAAAAGAAAAATACCTGGATTCTAGAGCAGTTCTCAACTTAGGATGTCTCTAAAAAAGCGATATATTTGGACAACAGTCGCTTTCCAGGTACCCAAAATGTTGGCGGCACAACCGGTACATTAAAAAAGAACTAGTACCGAGATAGATAGATCAATTTTTATATATTTACCTATTTATTTATTTTTTTGAAATCGCCTCTCAACCTTTGACACAGATCCATGAATAATATCTATCCTTATCAGCTTAATATTGCTATAGCAGTTCAAGAAAATAACCCAAAAAAATTTCCTTCAATACAATACAATATTCTGTGCTCAAATTTGCACTACATAGCTAATAAATTGGGTAATAATTATTGAGCAAATAAAAAAATCTGACAACAATGCTGCTTTTTAATTTATTTTGATAATTACACTGAAAAAAGTCTGTTTTTTCTCAAAATTGGCTGAATATTCCACATTTTTTTCTTTTCTAAAATACTATATTAAGAGCCCTCTTTTTGATAAAATTAAAAAAGTGGTAAAATTCGTGTGTCCGAAAAGCGTACTAGAACCCTAAATAGTAAGTACCAAGTACGACAGTAAGAAATGTGTAATAAAAATTTACTACGTGTCTGGTAACTTCAAATCAAATCAAATCAAATCAAAATATGCTTTATTGTTACGAAGAACATAATCAGTTCTCAAGAACAAAGCTGTAGGTATATATAAAAAGAAAATAGTACATCAAATCGAGATCAAATACATAATAATAATAATAATAAAGCAGGCAAACATACACATGTGTATACAAAACTTAACTCGAGATTTAACAAAAACTTACATCTATACAAAAACTTTGAGTGTGTAGATAAAAGCATCCAAAACATTCGTGGCTTTTTATGTAGTAGTTAAGGATATTTAAAAAAAAAACAGACATCAAAGTATTCTTTTCTGCGAATAAAAGTAGTTAAATCTAAGTAAGTCATAGTCTGGTCAACACTGAGAATCACACCACTCAAAGACAGTTTGTACCTACCTAGCAAACTTGATAAATTTGAGTTGAACACTCTCAAGCCTATTGATGTGGAGTTGATAGTAAGTTGACCAAACTATGCAAGTTTGGGGCATATACTTGTAAATTCCCTAGTAGCTCTCTTAATAAAACCCAACATTCTATTAGCCTTGCCAATTACCACTTCAAAATATTTAGTGAACATTAACTTTAACTTAGTATCTACATAGATAAACACCAAGATCTTTAATGACAGAAACTTGAGACAAGCAAACATCACCTAAGCAATACTGAAAGGGAATCTTATCAAATGTAATACCACAAGAGGTTTTAGGATTACCAGATAATACTTTTACCTGTCACGAAACGTGTTACGCAGCAACACCACGACTCCGAAGGGGGAGTGGTGTTGCTGGTAACGCGTTGAGTGTCAGGTAAAAGTATTAGGTAATTCTGAAACATCGAGTGGTATTCAAAAGGTTATACAACGAACTAAACTTTAATACTTTAAAATTAAAAAAAAAAAATCTGTAATAGAATTTGCTATAAATGCCACCAAGCGCGATAATCCCAAGCCTCTTGTGTCATATGGGAATAATGTATAGTGAGTTGTATAATCGAATGTAATACCACAAGAGGTTTCAGGATTACCGGATAATACTTTTACCTGTCACAAAACGCGTTACGCAGCAACACCACGACTCCGAAGGAGAAGTGGTGTTGCTGGCAACGCGTTGAGTGTCAGGTAAAAGTATTAGGTAATCCTGAAACTTCGAGTGGGATTCAAAAGGTTATACAACGAACTAAACTTCAATACTTTAAAATTTAAAAAAAATTCTATAATTGAATTTGCCATAAATGCCACCAAGCGCGATAATCCCAAAAGGCTTATCACTTGTTAAGCCTCTTGTGTCATATGGGAATAATGTACAGTGAGTTGTATAACCTACTGAATCTTAAACAACAACACTTATCAATGTTGAGAAACATGTCATTAAGCTGACACCAATCATAAACAATGTTAAGATCGTTCTGCAGAATAAGTATGTCTTGAGCTGACGTCACCACACGATACAACTTCAAGTCATTAGCAAAGAGTAAAAAATTCGAGGAGAATAACAATCTTAAATCATTGATAAATAAGGTGAATAAAAGGGTGCCCAAGGAAGAGCCTTAGGGTACCCTAGAGAATGCATGGAAAAGAGAAGAAAGATAGCCATCAATCTTGACTTCTGCATTCTGTTAATAAAGTAAGATTTCATCTATGAAAGTAAGGGTCCAGAAACTCCATAACTTGAGACCTTTGAAAGAAAGATGTTATGGTTTACCTTATCAAACGTTTTACTGAAATCAGTATATATTGCATGAGTTTCTGCATTGTTATCAAATGATGAATTTATAAAATTTGAAAAGAGAATAAGATGACGTTATTTATACTTTCACAGTTCACTTACTTGAATTTTGAAATAGAGACCTATTTTTGCCAGGGCTGGTTTCTAATGGGGAGGTTTGCTTGGAATTTTGCTGGCTAAGAATCTCTTTACTTCCTAATCTTCCTGAGGAATATCCACTTGTAGATTCTTCACTGTCCGAGTGTGTTTCTTTTCTGGCTAATTCTTGAGGCATTTTGAAGATATTATTATCACTAGCTACATTTAAAAAAATTGTAATTATTATCACTTGAATATTTTACCAAGATCTAATAATTACCATTTCCTATTTCATTGTGGCTTCTATTTGAAACAAATGGTGTACTATTAAGCAGTTTCCTTGTCTGATATCCGCTGGGTCCAGCGATGGGCTCAGGAAAATGTCTAAAGGTTGGCTTCTTGACATTGTTGCTGGCAATCGGACTCAGTGCTTCACTGACATTCAGGCTTAGTGATTCTTTTGTGACAGGAGGAGGCAACTTTGTGCGCTTGGCTGGCGGTTGAAAGTCTTGCAGGTCTTCTTCGTCTTCTGAATCGTCTTGACGTCTTCTGGTTGTAGACACTGGCGTTGTGTTGCTGTCTTTGCGGAACCATTTGGATAGAGGGGACTGGCTGATTATTTCAGAGACGTTTTGCTTTAGTTTATTGACCAGTGACTGGAAAGAAGGGAAGGCAAGTTTATTTCTATGGATACAAGACAAGGAGACTTTACAAGTAATATTTGGGTTTTCAGAAATTTTGTTCAACAATGGAATTCTGTTGTACAAATTTCTGAAGGTTTCTCTAGATACTATCAAATGGGAACCATTTACAAACAAATTTTTGCATTAAGTTCATCAAAAAGAGCCTAGAAATAGATACCTAATATCAGTGAAACCTCAGGAATTACTAAATAGCATTTTACCTGCATTCTACATAAATATTGTTTTAAAATCTTGTCTCAAACACTATATTATTGAATGCCCAGATATTCATTTAAATGAGGCCAAATTCAATTAAAATTTTCAAATATTTAAATAATCTTCCAAATGGCATAGTGCAGTCAAAAGAGTTGTCAAAAGGAGGCGCCCCTGGACAACCAATCAAGGTTATGATGATGGTATTTGGGTTATTTTGTTTTTCCAGTTTACTTACAAGGTGAGAAAAAGTGTAGAAATAACCAAAAAAAAACGAGTTTTAATTTTAATGATCAGGTATAAAGTACATAAGAGTTATAAATAGATTGCAAGGCGCTAGAAATGCTTGGGACGCAAAAACGCTTACCCGCCCTTCTTTGGGGTCCTGGTTGGTTTGCGAATCACTACTGTTGAGTTCCTTGTCCATTTTTGCACGGTTTTATCACTTAGTTGGCGAAATACGACGAGAATTGTTTGGAAAAAGGATTTAACATCTTTTTTTTGGCGAGGACACTTTCATTTCACACGAGGAAAAGATGATGGCCGACTCCAACGGTTTAGTTTGAATTCGATTTGACAGATGGCGCCATTGGGGGTCATATGAAAATTTTGTTTAAAAGGGCCCCAAATTAATTTATTGAATATCAATGCAATTATAATGTTGAAAATACAAATTTAAAAAAAATAATAATAATAATACATTTCCATATAAACAATTTTCGGGTTAATTCTGAAATTTAGTTTGAATTGCCAAGGTCATATCAGCGGCGTAGCCAATTTGTGAAATATTTTTTTCAAATCGTTTCCATATAAAACTAGTTTTTATCAGTGGCGTCGGTACATAATTTTACAGAAATCTGTAATGAAAACAGCTGATTCCACTGTTTTTATTTAAATATTTTACATTTTACAAAATAAACTGGTTTTTAAATAAGCATTAGGTAATTCAAGAATGTGGTGAATTAAGTTGATTATAAATATTAGTAGTACTCCAATTTGAAAACAGCACACGTGAATTATAGTCACTGATAAGTTACATTTAAAATCATTTCCAAAAATAATGCATAATTCAATGGATAAGGCAAGAAATTTGTATACTCTAGTCTTGCGTACAGGCACATATTCTAGCCTCGCGCCGATCCCGATCGTTGATTTTAAATTGCTCCCAACAAACGTGAATTAATACATATTTTGCTTTCAAATTTGTTTTAAATACTTTTTCAATAAAAAAATCTCTTGATTTAGTTAAAATAAAATAAATACGAAATATGTCGAACTTGCCCCGAATAAAATCTATTCCCATAAACTACATACACTACTATTGTGGTCTCATTATCATTGGTGCACCCTGTAACTTCCTAAAGTTGGTAAAATGCTCCAAATACTGCTGAATTGTATCTATTGGCGAATAAATCTCTTGCATTCGATTCTGTAGGAACTGTGCCGGTGTTGTAGGCCCTGAAGACCCCAAAAATCCTTGCATAAACTCCATCATTAGGTCCCAACACATTGCCGGCACTACACAGGGTTTATACTCGACTTCAACCAAGACTCCTTTAAAATTACTGCTCACTGTCACTGTACCAAGTTTAACGCAAAAATCGCCAATCTCATACCTGGGGCCTTTTGACTCTGTTTTGGTTTGTTTCTTCGACTGATAAAAACTAGACATTTTCATCATAAGCAAGTCGAACAGCCCATCAGTAGCCAAAGGGATGATTTTAGTGCCAGTATCGAGAAGGGAGAATACTGTAGCCGGCTGTTCTGAGTTGTGCAACACATGGACGGTTCTCTGATGTCCGAGGGCTGGCACTGAGCTGTACGTTTCGCAGTCGACCAAAAATTGTCCTTGTTGGATGGCTCCTAGAGCCATAATTCGTTTATTGAGGATGTCGACGGTTTGAGGGCCAGAACGGTTTTCTAAAGGAAACTGAGTGAGAACTGTGACACCCATTTTGGTTTTTCGAGGATTTCAAATTCTAAATTTATGATTTGGATTAGGTGAAGCAAACCAAGTTTAAAATTTTCGTAAAAAAAATCTCCTAACCTTAGAAAAAGTTTCAGTTTGGTTGTTTGGTTAATTTTTTTGTTGCATACGCCGTTGCCAAATGTATCGTGTTACAGGTAGGTGTTGCCAACTTTGCGCAAATGGACTCTGGTTCGATTCATTCGACCCCGGTTTTCCGTTGCTTTCCCGTAGGAGTAGTCCAAATCTCTGTTCAAATGATTTTTTTTTTTTTTTACGGATACGGATATGCGCACTCGCAAGGAAATGTCCTATCACGCTCGAGAAGCGGCAAGTGCGCGGAAATGTCGGTGTATGTTGGTCTTGAAACGGTTCAGGTTGTAACCTGCAGGGAAAACCGTCGCAGGGAGTTTATTCCACAGCGATGCTGTTCTCCAGAGATATGAATTCTAATGAGGTTCGTTCTTGGTACCTCTAGTTTGACAGTAAATTCATGGTTACCGTCTGTTTGACGGGTTCGCCTGGTAGGTGCTACTCTCGGTGGAATCATAGGTGCCAACTCTTCAGAGCATTTTCCGTGATAGTACCTGTAGAAGAAAGATAAATCGCACACAGATCTGCGATTTTCGAGACCATCCAAGTTACGAGTAAGTGCGGGGTCATTGATCAGCTTGATAGCTCGTTTTTGTACGGTGTTCAAAAGCATTAAGGTATGTTTGGGTGCTGCACTCCATATATGTGAGCAGTACTCCATAGTTGGTCGAATCTGGGCTTTGTAGAGTGTCAGCAATTGGCTTGGTGTGTACAGATGTCTTGTACGAAATAGCACCCCCAGCTTTTGGAACGCCCTTTTAGCAATATCTGCCACGTGACTCTGCCAAGACATGTTGGTCTCTGCAGTAACCCCCAAGAAGTTCAACTGACTCTGATGATCAACTTGTCGTCGCGTCGGTTGAATGCACGCACGTCGCACGGAGACCGGAGTGGAGCCGTCAGTTTGATAGCGGTTGAACCCTCATGGCGTTTTCCATTTGTCATCTCAGTGCAGCATTCAGTGCGCACGAGAATTTTTCTAGTGCAATCAAAAACGCGCACCAGTGCAGTATAAATGGAAAGCAAAAATGCAGAGTCGGCTCGGATTCTGGGGTTATGTAAAATCATATGTTGGTTTGTTGTTTTTGTTTAGCACTTGCCGGTTTCTGGTTTCCTGCTCTGCATGTTTTATAGTATAGGCTGTTCATTTGTACTTGCTACCTACTCGCAAAATCAGGAAGATCTGCTAGGAGCTGCTGTTTATGAGCTTATTATATGGGAGTTATGGGACAAGTGAACGCCGATCAGCTTATGAGATCTGCTTGAAAAAAGAAAAGCAGTACAAATGAACAGCCTAATTGTAATATTAATAAGTTTAGTCTGGGCTGTCGTTCTATATGGTTCTAGGGTTAACTACAGAAACTATTTAAAAAATTGATGTATTTGAAATGAATTTTAGAGTAGAGTTAATGAAGAAGAAGTCATACAAAATAAATATTTAGTTCCATGGTCCAGATAATTTATTTAATATAACAGCTTTTTCTAGTTCTTCTCCGCGGTTTCACCCGCCGTTAAATTTAGAAGAAATTGACTATCTATAAATAATTTAAAGTAGGTACTTCGCATCAGACAATATTTTTAAACAACAATAATAATATATCTAAAAACAACGTGGATAAGCTGCGGAATTCGTTCAAATAATATAATTTCGTCAGAGAATTATAGAATTCAACTTCGCTGCTGCTACATATCAAATCCAAAACTGCAACAACTTTTTCTTTGGAAATTAGCAGACATTTTTATGTACGGTACATATAAACAAAAACAAAACAAACTGCACTGGCTCTCCACGAGCCTTCCTAGCTCGTGCCAAAAAATGCGCACTGAGTGCATAAATAATTGCACTGAATTTCAAATGGAAAATGAAAACTGAAAATGTGCAGTCAAATGGAAAATAAAAATTGCACTCAGTGCACCTCCGTGCAACAAATGGAAAACGCCATCAGACTATTGAACCAGTGCAAAAAAAATGTATCCTCATCCTTACAGGTTACATGCTTTTAGAAAAAGATGCGGACACACTCAGTGCAGCACTGATTGATAAATTGAAATCGCCATGAGTGTTGAGTTGAGTTGAGACGCAGACAGAGAAAGAAAAGGAAAAGACAGACAAGAGCGGACAAGACAGAGTAGACAGACGTGACAAGAGAAACAAAAATAAAATTATTAACAATTCCAAAAATTGGGAGAAAAGTTTCTTTGATGCATTTCATATTCATTTTCATCACTAAATAACTAAAACATAAATTAAATAATGTTTTCCCTAAGAATACTGCAGTGCAAATATTCAGTTTTAGTCACCGCCAGCCTGCTAGTCATCCCAATCTACTCGTGGAATTGTTTTTTCAAATACTGGAAAAAATTACAAAACGATTACCAACAAGCAATCCTATTTAATCAAAGACACAATTGTGTCGTTACATATCAAGCAAACAAAGGCTTCTCGGGATGGCCCCCCAATGTGGGCAGGGTGAAACCGAGGCTCGACAAACCTTTTGAAGAGCTTTATGAACCAATATTGTATTTTATAAGTACTGCAGAGAAAACATTGGATGTTGCTGTTATGTTGATAAATGTCAAATGTATTTTTGTGGAGCTAGTCAAAGCCAAACAACGAGGAGTAACAGTTAAAATAATATTTGATTTCCATCATACTGAGAGTTCAAAGGACTACATAAAAAAGGCCGTTAAAAAATATGGTAAAAAATAACTGCATGATATATTTTTTTTTGTATTACTTTCAATTTCTTTAGATATAGAATGCCAATACTTTGTAACTGCCGGCAATAACTCGGACACAATCATGCACCACAAATACTTGATTAAAGATTATAGTGAAACTAATGGTTTTGTGTGTACAGGCTCCATGAATTTCTCTACAACCTCTGTGCTAATCAATTACGAATCTTTTGTATTTATGTCAAATCGTGATGTGGTATCAGCATTTAAAAGAAACTTTGATGAAATATGGGAAAGTATTCATATGGATAATCAAGGACTTATTAATAAAACTATTCTGATGGACGCTCACTTAGAGTCTTGACTTGTTTTTTTGTGATGGGGTAAATAAAATGTTTAAACAACCTTGGGTTTCACCGATCTTGGAAATGACACTATTTGGTTGAACAGAGTTTTATTGATTTTTTGAACTAAAGCGTGCTTCTGGAACTTTTTTGTGGGTACTGAATGAAAACTGGTAAAAGCGTTGGATACTTTTCCTGTGCGAAAAATCCCTATTACTAGAGAAAAAAGTCCTCTGTTCTCTGTTAGCAACACCCGTGGTCATTCAGTTAAGGATTCAAAGAGTTAAGGCAATCCAGCCATTCTCCTTGCAACCAAACGACCAAACCACGTAACATTCGCAAGCAAAATAACTTAAATAAGTATAAAAAAACATATATATAAAATCAAAGTCTTTGTACGGTGCCCTGGCCTAAAAGCATTTTTTCATTCTCCCCCCTACGAAAGTAGATTTTTTTTTCTTGCATAGGCGAGCGAAAGCGAAAGATGCTAAGTTATAGTTTAAGACTTTGATAAAATCAACTTGCTTGGCCACCACGCCATATTAGGCATTCCAATCCATCTGTCAAAAAAGAAAATTCAATATGGCGTGGCGGCCAAATAAGTCTGTTTTGAATATGTTTTCATGCGTATTTTAAATTATTTTGCTTAGATTTTTGCTTGCAACTTTAATTTTGATTATTTAATAAAATATTTGTTGATTAGGTATCTAAACTATTAAATCGGGCAGAAATTAAATATTTTTTTTTGTGTTTTTTGGTTCATGTGTGGCCGCCACGCCATCTTGAGTGTCACGTGTTGAGTTGAGGTTATGTTACGTTACAAGTTACATTGAAAAAATACAAAAACACAGTTGTATTCAATTTAAATTTTTGATAAAAACATTCAACAATGTTAAAATCAATTTTACACACATTTTCCTTACTTAAACCATATAATCGAAATCAAATAATATTTTGCCAAAAATGCTGTAGAAAAACCCCCTTCAGAAACTACAGTAAAGACAGTGCCGAACGAATAAGACAAGCTAATAAAAAAGGTATCAGAACTTCACTTTACTATATTACTGCAGCTGGGATTTTCACAATAGGCATGAGTTATGCAGCTGTGCCTTTGTATAGGATGTTTTGCCAAGCCTACAGCTATGGAGGCACTACACAGCAAAGCCATGACGGTAGTAAAGTAGAGGGTATGCAAGTTAATCAGAAAAGACCCATTAAAATCAGATTTAATGCTGATAAGGCGGCCAATATGAGGTGGAATTTTAAACCACAACAAAACGAAATTACAGTAAGAATTTTTTTCAAGATTTAGTTTTGGATCAAAAACTCATTAAATTCGCTTTTAGGTGTACCCAGGTGAAACTGCTCTAGCATTTTACACTGCAGTAAACCCTACAGACCATCCAGTGATAGGTATCAGTACTTACAATGTTATTCCCTTCGAGGCAGGCCAGTATTTCAATAAAATCCAATGTTTTTGTTTTGAAGAACAAATGTTGAATCCTCATGAACAAGTTGACATGCCAGTATTCTTCTACATTGATCCAGAATTCTCAGAAGATCCTTATTTGGAGTTTTGTAATGATATCACTTTGTCTTACACGTTTTTTGAAGCCAAGGAAGGGTTTAAAGTTCCTATACCACAGTTTTTACAAAGATAAAGCTCTAGCATAGCTATAGCTATCTATTTGTTGTTGTTTTTTTGGGTAAGAAGCTGTAGATAATATTTGTTACATATTTAATAAAAACGTAGACCTAATAATATTTTTCTTATATAAAATGGGTGCAAATACCTACTCACCTACTCATACTACCTAGTATAAACAAATAAACCTTTTTTTGTCCAAATTTATTGTCGTGATTGAGTAGTAGCATAAGAAGCCATTAAAATTTTTAATAGTCAGTCTTAAGTCTTATTGAACAATACTCTTTTTGATTCTGAACAGTACAAACATGAGCTGTTGGAATATGGCATGTGGACGGATCTAATTACAATACATTTATAGATTTGTATACCTACAGAAATTACATTTATTATGGGATATTTTATTTATTTATTTATTTATTTATTTATTTATTAATACAGTATCAACAGCACATACCAATTACAGATACCGATCTTAAAACTTGTAAACAATAATTATTTGAAATTTAAAATTTACATTGTTACAATCATGAACACTTCACATTAAATATATGAGGCTTCCTCGCAGCTCTAACAAGCAAAAACTTTTTCAAAAAACAAGATTATACTATATAATTTAACAATAAAAATAAAACAAACTTGTCTACTCCTGAGCCTGGGAAATAAAAAGTTTCTCACTTATAATTTTAGTAAATTGTCTTAAAGTAATAGTGTTTATATCCATGTCGCTAGCGTAAATATTAAAACAATTGCACATACGGTAAACTGGAGAATTCTTATACAAATTTGTCCTAGGGAAGTCCAAATAAAACATATTTCTCTGTCGGGTGTAGACACGATTTATTGAAAAAGGGAGTTGAGATAAAATATGAGGGCTATTTATATTATTATTTATGAGTTTATAAATGTAAATTAGGCACATTTTTATTCGCCTATTCTCCAGGGAGAGTCTACTAAACAAATTCAAAAGTCTATTATGGTTAAATCCCTGAGGAGGGTAGAAGCCAAACCTTTTCAAAAAAACATACTTCAAGAACTTTCTCTGGACTCGTTCAATAGATTTGCACCATACCTCATATTGGGGTGACCAAATCATGCTCCCATATTCCAATCGTGGCAACACAAGACTGTCAAATAGCTTAACACATACATCAGCATTAAAAAGCTTGGTAGATCTGATAATGAAACCCAATATTCTATGTGCCTCATTAATTTTTGTTACAATATGATCAGTGAAGCCCATGCAATTGTCGAACAGTACTCCCAAGTCCTTTTGAACCGAGTTGGTCACTAATACCTCTTCATTAATTGTATATTGCTTATTAATAACATTTTTCTTTAAAGAAAAAGACATAGAGGAACACTTTTTAGTATTAAGCTTAAAACCATTTATATTACACCACTCTACAACTCTATCCAAATCTGCCTGTAAACAGTCACAATCATCCAGGGTTACTATCTCCAAAAACAATTTGAAGTCATCAGCAAACAATAATGACTTAGAACTCTCTACCACCTGACACACCCCATTGATCGCTATGACAAACAAAAGAGGAACCCCAGAAGTACTTTCAAATACATCAGAACAGCCCCCCTTAATTTCCACGTATTGTTGTCTTCCAGATAAATAAGAAGTTATCAGATTAATCAAATTATTCGATACATTGCTTTCTTACAGAGACTTAAGAATGACACTATGTTTTATTTTGTCAAAAGCCTTCTCCAAGTCAGTAAAGATGACATCCACTTGCGTTTTATTATTAAAGGAGTCATGCAATGCAAATACTGGGAAAAGGATACTAGGTTCGTCACTGTAGATTTTTTAGGAAGAAATCCATGTTGGGTCTCACTAAGTTCAAACTTAACCAGATCATAAATCCTGTTGAAAAGGCGTATTTCAAAAACCTTGGAAACTGCATTGATTATAGAAATAGGTCTGTAATTGACGACGTCCCGTCGACATCCACTTTTAAATATCGGGACAACCTTGCTCGTTCGCCATACCCTGGGATAAGTACAAGTTCCAAGACTAAGATTAAAAATATACATCAAAGGCTGTAGCAACAATTCACCACATCCCTTAATAATATATCCTGGCAGACCATCCGGCCCGATAGCTCTATTACCTTTTAATTTTTTAAGCGTGTCAAGGATCTCTTCCTTTGTAAAAGGGAAATCACAAAAATGATCTTTAAATGAATTACTCTCGAAGCAATCGAGAGACTCTGCAGAGGAAAAAACACTACTGAAAAACATTGCAAACGCGTCCGCAATATTCTTTGTACCAGAGAACGAGACATTATTGTAATTTACCTCAGCAGGAATATCAAAGTCATTCTTTTGTTCCTTGATATAAGACCAGAAATACCTTGGATTCTCATTCAGACTCTCTTCCACTCTCTGTAAGTATTTAGTATAGGCCAAATTAATTCTTTTTTTAATATTCCTATATTTACTTTGCCAGTAAGAAGACTTAGTGGATTTGAACTTTCTAAAATAGGTTTCCTTTTGTTTTAATAGTTTTATGATTTCCCCATTATACCAAACAGGAAATGTTCGACCACGTTGTGTTGACATAGGAGTACATTTAATAAATACGGCATGCATAATCTCATAGAACTTACTTAGAACCTCATCAACACAAGTACACACATAGAGACTGTCCCATTCCTGATTTAAAATCAAACTATACCTACATAAGGTTAAAATTTGCTTTTTTGAAATTAAATTTTGTATTACTTAACTGCTCACATACACTACATTCATTATCACAGTCAAAGCTTGCAATCAATGCAGGGTGATACTGATCAATAGGCAACAAAGGTTCATCATCAATATCCACCTTGCCACCATGTATACGGGGGCTAACCAGTAGTCTAAAAAGTGTAGGAGTACATTGTGTATATTTCTTATATTATTGATCTGCACGAAACTTGAAAAGGCTAAAAAACTTTTAAAATCACAAATAAACTCATTGGGTACATCATTTACATAGTCACGAAGATTAAAATCTCCTACAATAATACAGTCACAATTAACAAGTCCTGTCTCAATACATTCATAGAATTTTCGATACGAATTAATATCGCTTCCAGGTACAAAGTACACAACTACTACATACACAACCTTTCTATGGTCAAAATTAATTTTTACACACAAAGCCTCAAGGTCACTATCAAAAATATCATAATCGCAAGCCACAAGACCATCTTTAACCGCAAGAAGAACACCACCCCCTTGTTTTTTGCCTGTCAGCTCATAGTTTCTGTCTTTTCTATAAATAGATCTGTTACAGTTAAATTCTGAATTGTATACTGAACCATTCAGCCAGGTTTCAGTAAGGGCTATTAAATCAATATCATTACTTAATAAATTACACTTTAAAAGATCGAGCTTAGTTTTAATACCTCTACAATTGAATGGTATGATTTTTTTAAGGAATCGGTCTTAACCTCAGGCTCAGAAGGCAACAAAAACATCTCGTTATTTGACTCAGCTACATTATTTCTACCAGCTAATCTTCCTGTTACATTATTTTTTTGATGATTTATTATTACATTTTTCAATTTATGCACGACTTTGTTTTTACCTCTATAAGCAATAAACAAACCATCCCTATAGAAAAACTCCAAAGATCTAACAACAGCGTTAAAGTGCAGAAACAGTGAACCATTCTGTTCAGACAAAACTTTATCATACATCATTTTGTTATGCTCATTTATAAATTTATTCAAAAGACTGTTGTCGCTCCACAATGGAACCGAAAAAAGAATTAGATTTGTATACCCTTTATCAACTCTAAGTCTCTCAATCGTTTCTTCTTCAACCCTAATACCATTCAGAAGATTTACACTACCCCCCATTACAACAACATAATCATTCGTATCAAAATTTTTTGCCAGTCTTAAAATATCCGATACAACATCACCTATTAAGGCATTAGGTTTTATAACTGAAGAAATATCAAAATTATACTTCAAATGCCTAGACAAACCATTTCTAATGTTATATGCCAAACTATCACCTAAAATAAGTATCTTTCCCTTCGGAGTCTCTAAGTTCCGGACCTCTCCTGAGCTTTGATCACTCTGTCCCAAGGCCGTTGCTTGCTGACACAAGTCACTCTTCAGCTTCATCACTTCCTGTCTGAGGGCTCGATTGTCATGCTCCAAAGTCTGTATAGAAATTACCATTTCATTACTTGTTTGTTTCAGGTCTTCAAACTTCTTATTGACTTCAGAATATTCCTCTTCGACTGAGTGACACCTATTTTCCAGTTCCCATTTAACTTGCTGCAGGCGAGACAGTTCCTCTGTTAGATTAGTTATATGATTGGTATCAACAGCTGAGCTGTTAGTTCGAGAGTGACTGTCTCTTGTTGGTCTCTTATCGGTCTGTACATAGTCATTGACTAACTGTCTCTCCCCTTTGTTCACCCTAAGGTCTTCGATTTGCTTTTTAAGTTTGGAATTGACTGCTTTTAGGTCTTCAATATCTTTGATGAGTTGCTCTTCAGCTGAAGTAGCCTCCTCAAAGAAAGTGACTGAGCTACGCTTCAATTTGTTTATGCAATTTGTTTTGGCTTCCAATTCATTTTGCATCTCGTTAATAACAGATCTTAGCTCCTCGGTTGTCTCCAGGTCATGTTCTTGAGCATTTTCTATGCATTCCCTGGAGCACCATATTAGGTTATCGCGTATTACAGTATAACTTTTTGTTCTATTCCAACAACTCTTATGCATAACGCTTTTACAAACCAGACAGAAATAATTGGGATGCTCTTTATTTTTACAGCATTTAAAAGAAGCAGCCATATTATCTATTATTAAATAAATATATTCATCTGTAGTTCAAGATATAAATTGTATACAAAGTGCGTAAAGAGTAAAGCTAAGATTCAATGAACAGTTGTTTTTGTTTATTTATGGGTACAACTCTGAATGTTTAGAATTGGAATATGCAAATTATACTGGTGATAAGGCTCGGGTATATTATCTCTTTTTTGTAACCTTTTTTTCTTTTGTAGCTGTAGAAATCAGTGCGTTTACTGTAATATGCTTTGCAAGTATTGATTTTTCTTGAGAAAAACTATGTTTCAGTGGAATATTTTTACACTGTAAAACAGATCAAGTTTTCACTCACAAATCCACACCAAACACAACAATCAACTGCACCTTGAAACTTGAGAAAAACGCCAAAAATTTTCGAGATTTTATGTTGATGTTCGGGAACAAGGTCAATCGCGGTTATTCCAAAATTTACATTAGATTTACGGATATATAAAGGCCGGTATTAGTTAGAAGTTTTGAGTTTAAGTTTGGCTATTATACAATTAGGATAGTGGCTATTGTTAAGAGTTGTAGCTGTAAAGAGTTGTAAGTTGTTTGAGTTAATTAGTGAAGGACAATACTGTAACCGCCACCAGTGTGTCAAGAATCCTAGGCTGTCGAATTCCCTAGAAATTACAGATTTCTTTAATCGGGAAAAGGAGAGTTATCGCGTGTATTCTAGATTGTACATGAATGGATTTAAGGCTATAACAGTGTGATTTTTTAAGTGTGCAACATAATATGGGATTTTTTTTTAGTAATAGCACAACCCAAATATAAACAAAGTCAAAAGTTGGTGCATGTCTGATAATCATATTAGGTGCACTTAGAATGAATGGTTGCAAGTCAAACAACATACAGGGTAGCTCAAAAAATATCAAACTTGTAGTAATATTTACCTAAATAAAATAAAACTTTTGCACTTTAAGGAGAGTTTTTTTAATATGCATATATTATCATCAGTAATGTTTTAAGTCAAAAATTGCGACATTTTAAAGTTGTGTTGAATATCATTGCAACAAAACATGAACTTTGTGATTTCATAAAAAATTAAAAATCTAAGGTAACTTTACAAATATGCTTGAATTTGAACAGAGTTATGTAAAATTGATTTGATTATAATTAATTTTTGAAAGTATTAAGGGCGGAAATAAAAAATATATAGAAATTATAGATTTTTTTCGAAAAAAAAAAAAAAAAAATGTTAGGAGGCTATGTTTTGATATGTAGTTTTCTGAAATAAGGGTACATTACAGTACAATTTTGATATTTTTTGAGCTATTGTATGCTATTTGACTTGCAACCATTCTAAGTGCACCTAATATAATTATCAGACATCAGAGCTGTCACAAATACTGGAAAATAGTATTTCAAAATTCAAATACCAAGTATCAATTACGGGAAATTCGTGTTGCAAGTACAAATACTAAATACTTTCAATTTGAAAAGTATTTCAAGTTTCAATTAGTTAATTTAGTACTTGATTTTTTCAAGTAAAATAATTGAAATACTTTGTAAGTATTTCAAGTACTTAATTAAATATTTGAAATACCCATGGTGTATTTGAAATAATAAGAAGTACTTTATGTACCCATGCACTAAAAAGGAATTCAAATTATTCAAGGATTTTATTTAAATTGTATTGAAGGCTGAAAATTGGAACGGGGATACTTTGTCACAAAGGAGAAACTTTGTGACATTGTGAAATTCAATTCAAATTGGGCAAATATTTTAAATTCTGTGCGCGAAGCCAAATTTTTCTACCGATAGGTGGAAACACACATATAGGTACCTCGCTCGCTACAAAAGCCGCTTGGCAAGCTGGGTTTGAAACCTCCTCAGAAAAATTCGTAAGAATTTCCAATTGCTTAGGTAAAATTATCAAGCAAATATTTGTTGACATTTCCTATCGTTTCAGACTAAAAATGCCGGGGTTTCATTATGTTTTCATTGTAAAAACGCACTGTCACAAAGTTACCCTGGGACAATTTCAAATTAAAAAAAGGCTGAATAATCATTATTTTTTCAATTTTCTAGATTTGCCAGTCTGTAGCGAAAGAACGGATATAGGTACGGTGTATTTTTTTTTCAGAATTTTATATAGCAAAGAAATGTTCGAGAATTTCAAAAAACCTCAAAACATGTCACAAAGTATCCCCGTTTTACGGTAGCTCTAAAAAAGTACTACAGAGGTTCCAAATTACAAGATTCCAGTTGCAGATTGTAGTTATTTTCAATTTAACGATTTAAAATTTATCTAGTATATTGAGTACAAATGTCCAGTGTTTGAATTACTTTTTTTGTAAATCCAAGTACCAAATACAAATACTCTATTAAAAGTATTTGCAGATTCAAGTACAAATATCCAAAAACGAAAGTATTTGAATTATAGTACTTCAAATACTAAAAAGTAATTGAAATACTGAAATACATTTTCCAAGTAATTTACTTGAAATACTGACAGCTCTGTCAGACATGCACCAAATTTTGGCCTTGTTTGTATTTGGGTTGTGCTATTACTTAAAAAAATTCCCATATGTTGCACACTTAAAAAATCACACTGTATAAAGCAAGCTGGTATTTAGGAGTTTTAAGTTTAAGTTTGACTGTGATACGATTCAAATAGTGATAATTGTTGCGAGTTGTAAAGAGTTTTACCTACGAGCATGCGGTAAAGTACACTTTACCGCACGTTTTTGAAAATGGAAAGTATCACTTTACCGCACACTATGCGGTAAAGTTAACTTTACAGCATAGTGTGCGGTAAAGTATCACTTTCCGCATTTGTTAGGTAAATAACTATAATTGTTGAGTTAGTTATTAAAGTAATTATAGTGTCAGAGTGTTTTGTTACGTGGAATAAAATTATTGCTGTGTTAATTTGGCTCTGATTTTGGAATGAACGAAACGAACCCAAGATTTCTGTCAGACAACAGACAACCCAGAGTCGTGACAATACTATCAAAGGTAAGAAACATTGTGGGATACCTCGAGAAAGAAGTTTAGAATTTAAAAAGGGAAAAAATCAAGGGTAATAGTTGTAGGTGAGCGACCAAGTGCGAAAAGTAGGTCGTTCTTGACAGCAGTCACACAGAAATGGTTACAAAGCGGCGAATTTTGTTTATTTATAAATAATAAATTGTTGGCGTAGATAAGTAATGCGCGTCATGGGCAGGAATGAAGGAAGACGTTTTAGTGTAATGTAGGTATTTCTATTTTTATCAAGTAAAAAAATTCAGTCAATTTAACCCAATATAGGTACCTGAAAAACTACTGTGGATAATTTTTGACTAACCCAAACTCAGTAATAAAATCAGCTATCTACTGGTTTTTTGTATCACTTTATTTTATCCAAAAGCTTACCTCTTCTTATCTGTTCTCCATAAAAGTTACATAAATAAATGTGTGGTAAACATTGATGTGTTGTAAAGCATAAAGGAAGACACATTGCCACAGACGACCTTTTTAATTAATAACAGGATTAACTCTTCAAGATTATCATCCTGATTATTAATAAAGAAAAAAATAGAAGTAACGGAAATTACGACAAAAAGCTTGAATAAAAAAAATGTCGGTATTATCAGATTATTTATGAATGCATAAAGACCTTGATAGGGAAACCTGTTAAGAATTATTTATATTTATATATTATGTGGGTTACCCTGTGTATAGAACATTTTAAGCTGGAATAATAATTAATAATTATTATTACCTACTATCACTTACTCAACAGGTCATTTTCTATTCCACTGTATGTGGTATAAGAATAGGCGTATAGGAAATAATAATAATCCTAAAACTATATACTTAAACTAGAAGCAGATCATTTTAATTATAACCTTCATATTTTGTATTACTGTATTTTTTTAAATTAGATACTGGTCAATAATTTGAAGCAAAAACGTAATAAAGCCAATTTGGGAATGCAAGATAATTAAAATTGGATGCTCTACAATCATAATATCATACCTATCTGAGCTACGGCTATGGAGTGTTACGAATATGTGACTTATGATAATATGTAATAAATGAGGAGAGTGAAGTAGGTATTGCTGAACCTTTTAGACCCTTAGGAAATTAAATTTATGAAATAAGTGTCTTGAAACGGAAAAAAACTAAAAATAATCAATTTTTCTTTCAATAGAAATATAACCTATAACCGTATAACTATGCACAATAAGGAAAATATTCAAACAACATCTGCATTGCGTATGATATACAGAAACTTAACAGTAAAACCTGACTTAAAACGGAACGGATGTTAAGTATCACCAAAGAATGTATCACTTATTGCAAGGGAGTCAAGGCTTATAATAATCATCTTTATTATTTCATAGATTCTCGAAAAAATTAATTACAATATAAGAATATTAGAGTCCAGAAAACATATTGAATATGCATTGAAAAAGAAAGTTCTTCATTTTCCTAATACTATACTAATTTAACATGTATCTACATTCAAAGTACTGTATTTAGGTACTTTTCATTGTAGTAAAGTAACATTTGAAAGGTTTTCTTTCTTATAAGTATTGTGATCGGCTCCCATGTTACCATAGTAGATAATTAGAAAAGTGGTTTGCTAAAAAAAAAAAAACATTTCAATTGTTCCATAATATATGTATTCACATTAATCGTTTTACCGTTAATTGGTTTTACCCAATTTTTTAAATTCATAGAAGAATGATGTGATGATCTCAAAATTGTGTTTGTTATGCAAATGCGGGACTAAAATCCCTGAAAATTTCAGCTCATTTGCACTTATAGTTCCTGAGATAAAATCGTGTTAAGCAATTTGGGGTGATTTATCAATTTTTCAATTTTTCTGAGCGCCTTTTTTCATAGATTTCGGCTTCAAATCTGAGAATAATTAAGTGTATGGAGTTTGGAGGATGTTAATTGACCATTAAAATATAAAATCTCAACAAAAAAAAAAAAATTGAAATTTCATCGTTTTAGTAAAAATGTAGCTACCTTATGATTTAGATTTTGGAAAATTTTGGAAGGGCATAACTTTTTTTCTATTATAGATAGAAAGCTGAAATTTATCTCTATAAAGGGACTACATTCCCTGAAAATTTCAGCTCATTTACACTTATAGTTCCTGAGATAAAATCGTGTTAAGCAATTTGGGGTGATTTAACAATTTTTCTGAGTGGCTTTTTTCATAGATTTCGGCTTCAAATCTGAGAATAATTTAGTGTATGGAGTTTGGGGGATGTTAATTGACCATTGGGATACAAAATCTCAACAAAAAAAACTTGAAATTTCATCGTTTTAACGTTGATTGCTATAACTAATTTGCGGTTAACCAAAAAAGCATTCCTCGCGGACTTTCAACCAGGGTATAGAAAAAAAAAACAGCAGCTACTACTTCCTATATAGTACCTGCTTACACCTACCTCGTAGTTCTTCCGTTCTTCCACCTGTAGTATGTACATACGTACGTCACAGGTGTCTTTTAGCAGGCAGGGAGTAGAAATTAGAGCGACGTTCTTCGTTCTTGGTTCTTGTTTCTTCAGTTTACAAGAAACGGCTACGACGCGAAGACCGTTGAGTGTGAATCAGAGCGTCGCGATTATTAGTACCGCTTCTCAGCAGTATAGCTAAAAAGTGCGTCATAGATAAACGATGCGGCGGTGGTGGTGCTATAAGGGCCTTACGACCTTCAATATTATATTTGGATTAGGATTTTTTATTGACAGTATGTATTTTTCAAAATTAGATATAATAGTTTCACATTTTTTGCAAAAGTAGGACAATGATGGTTATTTAAATTGACGATGGATGTTTGACCGCAATATGTATAGGTATTCTTTTTCCAAGTACTTAAGTTGCAAATCCGATCGCGACTAGATAATATTTTTCAATTTTTTTTTAACTTCACTAATTTGCAGTGCCCCAGGATTTGTACCTGGGTATATAGAAAATATTCAGTTAGAAAAAACGATATTAGATCAAACGTATTTAATTTAAACATTTCAAATTGATTAAGTATTGAGAATACTAAATTAAATAGAACACATAGGTATTGAAAATTAAAAAGCAAACATTAATATATATATATATATCTTGTTTTGCGCATCTTCAACAAGGTACGTAGGTTCTAATTAACTAAGCAAGCCCACAACAATATGAAATCAGTAGGTCAGGTAAAATTAATGAATATTTTTTCATAGCCCACATTAGCGGTTTGATTGTTGAGTATTTTTAAATTTTTCCCATCAAGCAGGACTAATCAAAGAAAGAAAAGTTTAAATTGAGGTCGACTCAATCTTGAATGTGCATATTATATTATACACTAAGAGTTTAGTTTCTTATGTATGTATGTCGCTGATTCATCAAACATCAATATAATTATTGTCCGTCGTTTTTAATCTGACACTTTCCGTATGAGGAGCGAGGGGGTGAAGCATATGACAAAAACAGGTATGACGTCAGGTCTTCTAACGTAGGAAGCCACTCAGCTCACATTCCTTTGGAGTATTAGATTGAACAACATGGACTGTAATGTAATGTATTTCGATTTTTTGAAATAGAATACAAATAATTTCACCTGGCAAATAGACATTTGGTCAAAATTTCCCCTTGATCTAGCGCGTCGCGAGTTTAAACAAAAAAACAAACACAAACATGTATCTTCATATCAACATAGGTATCTTCGGCTTTGTATCTCTACCTAGAATAGTTATTTTATCAATTGTTGCAACCTAGAAAAAGTAAATACTTGACTACCTATATACAGGGTGATTTACGTAGCCCATGCATTGGCTTGCAGCTTGCAGGTGGATTAGATGCTAGCTCTATTAATCCACCTGCAATCTAATTGAATTCTTATGCACGGGCTACGACAATCACGGTGTATATTCTGAATCGCCCTTAAATATTTCAATAATTCTTCAAAAGACTTAAGACTTTTCACTTATGTAGGTACCTACTTTATTATAACTATGGATAAATTATTATTATTATGCACAATATGGTTAAGGCCTCTGTTCGTAGGTTTTGTCACTTCCTCTCTCCTAAAGTTCTTTTTTATGTAGCTTGTAGGTATCGCATGTGCTATAGTGACCTAGATATAATATGTATAGGTATGGTGGTGCTGTTCTATGGTCTACAAAGTATTTCCATCCTTCAACAAAATAGGTAAAGGTATGAGAGATAGGTATACTAAAGTTGCGATTGTTTTAATAATAATTAAGGGGCATTGATATTACTTTTATCAGGAATGCGTTTTTATGATAAGTTTTATTCGACGCAATACTAAAAGCTTTGAGTTTTCTAATAAAATAATATAATTTTATAATTGGATACATAAACTTGGAGAAAAATTTGTTCTACAAGTTAATTGCCTAACATGAAATGACATTCTTTTCTCTGATTCTTGGAGACGTTAAATAAGCAAGCAAGCTGGGCTATAACATAGCTAGAAGTACAATAACGGTGTCTCCGGGCGCACCGTAATCCGTAGATAATCGATTTGTCACTGAATCATTCGCCAAATCAAGTGAACGAGTCGTAAAAATTCATATTTTTTATATATAAGTTGCGACTTTTAGAAAATTTTGGCTTTTAGGTACATCTGCGGAAGTAGGTATTTAGAGTTTCCAATAAGTAGTTCCAGAACCTCATAGATCGAATTCGTGTGGACTTGGCAATATTAAAATTTTATCTTGAATCTATTTTTCATGAAGCGGTTACCGATTTTTGAAATACGTCACCTTTCTAGGACAATTCGTTTCAAGTGTGTAGATAATACCTATATTGCCCTTTTTTGTGGAAACTGTTGTAAACTCATTCCGCTATTTTTGCTACATACCCAACCAAAGAATCTATTATTCAAAATTGGTTCAAGTAGTCAACTTAAAAAAACTCCTGTGATGTTACACTTACAACCAACAATTTAAAAGGAAAAAATAGTCTAATAAAATATATAAACTTTCACTATCTTGAAGATTAAATTGATTCTATTCGGAAAGTGAAAGCTCTCCAATTTTTCAATTAAAACCTCAACCTGTGATTAATCGACCTTTAAAATTTAAGGTAATTTTTTTTTTCTACTTCCAGGTTCCCAAGGACAAAGTGGTTGTAAATTTCCAGGTTCCCCTGCTCATTCTTCAGTAGAATTTTCAGATGAAACCCTTGGTCCAGGGTCGATAGCGACTTACACGTGCGAAAGGGGTTTCGAATTATTAGGACCCAATAGAAGAATATGTGAAAATGGCGTTTGGCAACCCGAAGGGATACCTTTTTGTGGTGAGTATTTATATCCGATTAAAAATAGCGAATTAAATGAAAACGCGGGCAGTTACGGTCATCGACCATTAAAAGGAATGCAGAAATAACGTTGCCACTAGTAGATGAAATTGAAGCGATCCCGGAAAATAAATAAGCAGAAACGGAGATACGAATCTCTATTAGACTGAAGTGAAGTGTGGACTGAACTGAAGAGAGAGGTGTGAAGTGAACTGTGAACTTCTTACGGAACATGTTCAGTTTCCATAATCACTTGCGATGTGTAGGCTTATTACGCACCCGCACCTATAATCTCCGAAATAGCTAAAATTGAGGTTTCAGAGGCGAATTTCGTGGTTGAAAATTTCATTTCCTTCTTATAAGGCGAAAAAGTCTTTATTGATTATCAAGTTATTTCACCCTACCTATATAACTTTTTGTTACCGGAAAATGTATCTTGAGCTAAACAAATTGCGATTGGGATTAGTATCTAACTAACTATTCTTCCCTGTGCCTCGAAGATTTTTTAAGATATCCTAAATAAAGTACAGGGTGTCCAGTTATAAAGCACCACCACCTGTAACTTTATTATTTTTATAATAAATCACCCTGTACATAAATAAGTTACAGGTGGTGGTACTTTATAACTTGACACCCGGTACAGAAATATAAAAAAATCAAATCTGGCTCATGGAAAAAGATGTAAAAAAATTAGATTGGCGTTTATAGGTATTCATCTAACAAATGTGGAAAGTGATAGGTACTTTAACGCACGTGGTTAAAGCACTTTCTGCATGATGTGTTAGTTACAACATTTTACCTATGAGCATGTACATCTCCAAAAAAAGGAAATATTGAACTTTCTAAAAGACAAGGATTATAAATACCAACTACTTCACTGCACACTATGCGGTAAAGTGCACTTTCCGCACGCTCGTAGGCAATAGTTATTTTCGCACGCGCCGTGCGGTGAAATTTTTTTAGCGATAGGTACCTACTTTCCGTACGCAAATCGGTGCGTAAAAACTTGCTTTCCGCACGCTCGTAGGAAAGAGATATTTAAACAACAAGTTTTGAAAACGGCTTTTTTCGCACGGCGAGACGAAAACAAATCATCAACATTAGAAATTGGTGACAATCGCAATTTATGTCATCTCATGTCAGGATGATAGGACCAAAATAAATAGAAAGAAAACTAATAGCACAGCTAATAGGCAGCGTGTGAAAAACTCCATATTTTCAAGCGTGCGAAAAACTCCATATGTATTTTCAAGCGTACGAAAAATTCCATTTTCAGAGGCAGTTGTAGGAAAAAGTATTAAAATTAAGCTACCTTATGATTTAGATTGGCGGGCTAAAATCCCTGAACATTTTAGCTCAATTGGACTTATAGATTCCAAGAAAAAATCGCGTTAAGCAAATCCGCGGGTATTGGGCAAGAGCAAAATCTTCTGAGTGTCTTTTTTCATAGAATCCGGCTCCAAATCTCGGAATAGTTTAGTTTAGTTAAGTTAATAGAGTTCAGGGGATCACGAAAGACCATTAGGATACAAAATCTCGACAAAAAAAAATTTGAAATTTCATCGTTTTAGTAAGAAGGTCCCCCCCCTTATGATTTTTTTGAAAAATTTTGACAGGTCATTACTTTTTTTCTATTATAGATAGAAAGCTGAATTTTATCCCTTTCAAAGGACTACAATCCCTGAAAATTCCAGCTCATTTGCACCTATAGTTCCTAAGATAAAATCGTGTTAAGCAATTGGGGTGATTTATCAATTTTTCAATTTTTCTGAGTGCATTTTTTCATAGATTTTGGCTTCAAATCTGAAAAGTTTTTAGTTTATAGAGTCCAGGGTATCACGAGGGACCATTAGGATACAAAATCTCGACAAAAAAAAATTTGAAAATTCATCGTTTTAGTAAGGTGACTTATGATTTTTTTGGAAAACTTTGAAAGGTCATAACTTTTTTTCTATTATAGATAGAAAGCTGAAATTTTCACTGAAATTTATCTCGATAAAGGGACTACAATCCCTGGAAATTTCAGCTCATTTGCACTTAGTTCTTGAGATAAAATCGCGTTAAGGAAATCCGCGGGTATTGGGCGGGAGCAAAATCTTCTGAGTAGTAGGTCGAGTGTGTCATACGAATCATCAGATTTTGTGCGAAACTTAAAATGACATCGTAATTGTGTCAGTAAAATGTAGAACAAACTAAAAAGAGTTTTACCAAAGTTTGCTGGAAATTGTCGTGTTGTTGGAAGCGGAAGCACGCGTTTAATTTAGTATTAGAAAATATGATGTTTTCTGGCAGGTAATGCCATTTCATTCACCAACAGTGTTTGCTTGAACTTTTGGTAAATTCAGAAATGATAGGGGGTTTTCTACATTATATATTTACCTATTGAAAGTAGCTAGAATTTGTCCCCGCCATGAGAAAATTGGCTCAGACGCTCCTGAAAACTATCTTAAAACTGTCAGAAAAATAAGACCAATGATGGATCAGGCTGGGCTGGAATTGTTTCAGCTCTATTTTGACTCAGCAATGCAATATGGAAGTTTGGAATTGCGCAGCTGATACTAATAATTTGGATAAAGCACGCTTCAGAAAATGGCAGTAGGTTGAGAATAATTAATTAGGCAATGATCATGGTAAAACCACAGTTACTTGTGCCAGCTGATATTCACGATTCACGAATATAATAGTCGAAATAGAAATTATTCGGTGTACGGCCTGATAATGTGATAGATACATATTTTTTTTTTTTACTTACTTACTCTACATATGATTATTCTTACTGCATATACTCCATTCCATTCATGTGTTTTTGTTTACCAAAAATCGCACAACTGACCCACATTAAGTGTGCCTTGCATTCCGTTACAGTCGACCTTCTTTTCGATGTTTTGTGCTCATCCTTGTCCAAAAATTTAGTCACGACGCCTTTAAAGAAGTGAAATCTGATTTGCATCTAATTTTGGGTGTCCGGAATGCGGCTTTGACCTTATGTAAATATTTTAACAAAGTCTTAACAACGACAGTTGGTTTTCCATTCGCACTTTTGCACCTTACCTCTATCTCTAAAACGATTACCTAATATTAACGTAGGCATATTAAAATGAAGTCAAATTAAACTAGGGCCAATGACATTAAACTGAAAAATTAATCGTTTAAAATAAGTATTAATGAATTTATTAGATTGAGGAAAAAATCAGCATGGAATTGACGATTACATAGGTATATTATAGAAACCGGCATTGCGGCTGCTGGCGACTTGGAGAAAGCAAAACAATTTTTGACATCAGAACTAACTATAACTAAAGTAGGTAATATCTAGTATAGAAAGTGATCTGGTTTTGATTGATAATTATTTTATTACTGTTTTAATTCCCGTTAGTCATGCGAAAATAATTCCAAAGTGTAATAAATTCGTTTCAAATATTGTTAGGTAGGTACTACTTATAGAAGCAAAGCAAAATATGTATTCTGATTTTCAATAAATGCACCAGTAGGTAGGTATTGATGTCCAGCTATGACAATAAAGACTAAACATCAAGCAAGAGAAAATAATGCAACTTTTTCCATTGTGCAAAATAACACATTGTCAACTTAGCTATTTAATGGCGAATTCTAACATATAAATTACAAATGCCGTTGAATAATTTTTATTTCAGGCTATGCCATATGGCCTTTGCGAATTTCTATAGAATGCAGCGACTTTCTTATAACATACATTCTATCGGCTCAGATACCTTGATGTAATGCTAACTTTGCAAACTTGTGATGTAGATATATTTTTTTTAAAAAATCTAGTGAATTTCGCTGCAAGAATGCCGACAGAGGTATTGACCAATCTCAATGTCACGACGATTCACGCACGGGTTAAAAACCTACAGCCTACAACCTCGACCTAGTGCCGGGTCTTCTTTTATTAATCTTGGCATTGCTCGCTGGATGGCAGGGTACCATGAATTTCAATTATTAACCGCTAAGCCTGTGAATATGAGCCTACGTCAATGTAATTTTTTTGCATCAAATTTGGTATAATTACAAATCGAGCAAGTTGATTGACACGAGAAACATAATATTAGATGAAATAATTATTATTATTTGGTTTGTACCTTATTAGTATGTGATCTAGTGATCACAGAGTCACTGTGGCCATGACCTAGGTTCTTAAAAGCAACTCATTTCTCCTATAATTTATTAATAAATTTTTTTACCTATATTATTTTTCTTATTCTAGTCCTGAATGTAGCTGCTGGTAAAGCTCCAATGCAAGTGTCCACGGAAGCAGGAGGTATCCCCCAAAAAGCTATCGACGGCAGTACCAGCGCATTTTTCAATGCTGAAACATGTACATTAACTAAACCCGAAAAAACTCCTTGGTGGTATGTGAATTTGCTGGAGCCTTACATGGTGCAGTTGGTACGGCTAGACTTTGGGAAACCTTGCTGTGGTAAGAAAGTAAATGTTATCGCCATAAAAATAATAAACGGATTCTCACTTTTTGGTCAGCCATTATTTGTCTGACTGTATTCAAGATGTAACTAAAAACAAGAATAATTGCTTCAGGTTTTATATGGCCAATATGTAATCTATAATAAAATGTTTATTGCTCTCCTTAGGAGCCAACAAACCAGCAACAATAGTAGTTAGAGTTGGTAACAATCGGCCTGATTTGGGCACGAATCCAATTTGTAACCGATTTACTGGGTTCCTTGAAGAAGGCCAGCCGCTGTTTCTACCGTGTAACCCTCCGATGCCAGGGGCATTTGTAAGTGTCCATTTGGAAGTACCCACAGCCAACCAATTGTCCATATGTGAAGCTTTTGTTTATACTGATCAGGCTTTACCAATTGAAAGGTAGAATAGTAATAAACAAATCTAACAAATATTAAACATTTTATGAAATTGCAGATGTCCACAGTTCCGAGATCAACCCCCTGGTAGCACTGCAACTTACAACGGTAAATGCTACGTATTCTACAATAGAAATCCCCTCAAGTTCAGAGAAGCATTGCAATTCTGTAGAAGTAGAGGTGGAACACTGGTGGACGAAAGTAATCCAGCACTTCAAGGTATCGTATTTCACACAAACTCGCCCTTTCAATTAAAACAAAAATTACACATTTCCAGGATTTATTAGTTGGGAACTATGGAGAAGACACAGAAGTGACTCTCAAGGCCAATATTGGATGGGCGCCGTGCGGGACTCTCAAATTGGTAAGCAATAAGCTATCATTACAAAATTACAGTAACTGTACTAACCAATCAAATTTTAGGCGGTTGGCAATGGTTAAAAGGTGATGAAGTAACTGTATCTTTTTGGAACTTGCCAGTGGGTAATGGAAATTGCGCCAGGTATGATGGCACTAAAGGATGGTTATGGTCTGATACTGACTGCAGTATGAGATTGAATTATATTTGCCAACACCGTAAGTTTTATTTCAGATAATGATAATTTTATCGGTGAAATTGTGAAATTACATAGAACCCAAAGCATGCGGCCGACCCGAACAACCTCCAAACTCTACAATGTTAGCTCCTACATTTGATGTAGGATCCGTGGTGGAGTATGCCTGCGACGAAGGCCATCTCTTAGTAGGCCCACCTATGAGGACTTGTTTGGAGACTGGATTTTATAACGAATTTCCGCCTGTGTGCAAAAGTGAGTACATACCCACATAAAAGGGGTCTAAATAGAATTATCTTACTTTTTACTCCAAAATCTATTCATAGGGATTCAGTGTGGTTATCCAGCAGATATACCTAATGGGGAATACACCCTAGTGAACGATTCGGTCGGTTACTTAAGCAGGGTAGTTTATAGCTGTTTTGAAGGATATGAAATGATTGGAAGGGCTCAGCTTTCGTGCGATATCGATGAACGGTGGAACGGGCCACCACCAAGATGTGAACGTATGTATAAACAATTTCTGAAAAACCTTCATCAAAATATTTTTATTGGTGTTATTTTTAGCCGTTCAATGCGAGACACCTTCAACGATTGGCAATGGCCTACTGGAAATACCTAATAACGATACTTTTTTTGGATCAATAGTCACTTATAGTTGCAATAAAGGTTACAGATTAATTGGGCCAAGCAAAATAACCTGTATGGCTAATGGACAATACGATTCTCTTCCTCCTACTTGCCAAGGTAAGAAGAAACATATGGTACCAATAATTGTTTTATTGTTTTATTTGCTACAGTTGAAGTCACATCACCCCCTTTGACGACCTCACATGAAGTAACTCTGGCAACAAGACCTTCGTCTTCTACCATTCCCTCCAGTTCCAGCACTACAAGTAGTACAACAAGTAATACGAGAAGTAGAACTCCTCGGCCTCCACCAACAACTATTAGAGCTACAAATGACTTGAATAAGGTAAATATTTCAAAAAAAATCGGGGCGTATGTAAACTGAAGAGACACCATTATTTCAGATGACAACTCGTACAAGAAAAACACCTAGCAAATCTGTTTCCACAACAATTCGTTCGCCTAACAAGCCTTCTATAATTATAACTGGACATCCACAAGATAATGAAATAGCAGGTACAACTAAGCTGCAATATTTTTTTCCACAAATAAGATCTCATCAATCATTCATAGGTTCTTCAAATAATATACAACATGGAGAAGGCCCTAATGTGAATGTGCCTCTATCAGTAGATGGAGATAGAAGAGAACCTTTTGGAGCCCGCCTTAACGTAGGAGCCATAATAGCCCTGGGAGCTTTTGGGGCATTCATATTTTTAGCAGCCATCATTACCACAGTAGTGATTTTAGTGCGAAGGTAAATTTTTCACGAGCAAGTTTTTCGTTTTCTCAATAATTGTTCCTGAGCAGTGCGGGTGCATCGACGCGATCCTCACATCGGCTTCCCTCACCAAGCGCGATGCCCTCCAGATGGTACACCCTGTTGGCTCTCCCTTTTCCCGATCAACAAATCGGGAGAAGAGAGTTCAGTCGCAGTTACCGGTCGCATCGCGCGGGCTATTTCAGTAATCCAATGTGATTGTAACAACCTTTTTAGTGCCATTTTTATTACACGTAAGCAACAATTATTTACTCAATGATGATTAAATTTTTTTGAATCTGTTTTGCAACAAAAGACACAACATTTCATTGCAAATATATAAAAATTAATACATATTATTATGTATAGAAAAAATGTTATTCAATGAAATTAAAAATACATCTCAATGCCTGAGTCCGAGTGAAAAAATAAAAGTCAAAGTCTAATATGTGAACTAGAACATTGCAAATAAGATTTAATAATGCATGGCATAAAATCATTTTCTTATCTCTGAACAGTCTATAACTGGCACCCGCACTGCATGCTATAATTATTAAGATGCTTCCTACTTACACATTTCCAGCACTAGGCTAAAATAAAAACATTGAAACTCTTCTCTTATTCAATATCGGCTGCCCATACATTTATTCCATTATACATAGTATGTACTTATGATTTTCTAAATCAGGAATCAAAGTGCCAAACATTACCGTCATCGAGCCTCGCCTGACTGTAACACAGTGGCTTCTTTCGACTCCTCTAGTTCGGAATCGAGAAACGGAGGTCTCAACCGGTACTATCGTCAAGCCTGGGAAAATTTGCACGAGTCGGCCGGCTCCAAACAAGTATTGAAATCTGTCAATGGAAATCATTCTCCTTTGCGGAGGAAAGAAACCATGGACGAACCTTATCGTGAACGTCACCGTGAGAGTTCAGAATTGGTTGTTGATGATGGAATGAAAGGGGCAACAGAAAAGAAGCGACATCATCATCATCATCACCATCATAAAGAGGGAAGGGAGTGGAACGGCAATAGGGCGCCTCCTGGTGGTGCTCATAAGAGGTACTGACAACCGTGCATGGTGATAACGGTGCAGTTTGAAGATTACTAAAGAAGCGGGACTTATAATAGAACGATAGTGATAATAATAAAAAAGTGAATTTCCTCTAATATAGAGATGTATGCAGATACTGAGAAAATTTATCTTATTTTGTTTTTATATTAGTAGTACCCTAGTACCTACATAGGTTAAGTAACTTAATGTTTAAAAAAAGACAAACCATATGGTGCCATGGTGAAAGGGCGAAAATCTACCAAAGTTTTCAGTACGTGAAATTGGATACTGGGACAATATTTTTTGCTATCCTACAGGATCAATTGAAAATATCCAATACCTAGTGTAATTGAAGTTAAAGTCTATGTATTTCATTGATCTTGTATAATAATGTACTTCCATTTAAAACATTACAAAATATCTCTTATGCATTGTAAAATAAATTAATATCAAATTAGACTCTTTTATATGCATAGGTGTTAGATGCTTGTAACTATAAAGGGTATCCCATTCGAAACAAAACAGGCTAAATATTTGATGTCACTTTTTTTTTTTTTTTAATCGCTCATACACGTAATTTGATTGTGTGAGTGTTTGAAACATTTCCAGCACTAACTTAACCCTCTAGGAGGGGTGGAACCAACCGTTACCATTCCAAATGGAACAGGAGGTCGAGTGATACCTGTTTCAAAAATAAACGTGGCATCAGATATTCAGCCTGTTTCGTTATAAATGGTACACCCTGTATAGTAGTTTGGTTTATCTAAAATATTCGAAAAAAATTAAATGATTTAGTAATACCCAAACAATATTATGTATTTTGTTTCAATTCTTAACATATTTTTTCGCCCCTAGTTGAGCTAATTTATCAGCTTCCACATTGCCCATGATTCCACTATGTCCTGGACAATACTCCCATTTAACATCCTGAAATTTTTGGCACATATCATCCAATTTCATCAAATCTTCTTTATTTTTAACGGGACCACCTGAGGATAATTTCCAGTTGTTTGTTTTCCATTTCTTCATCCATTTGGTTATACAATCAATAGTGAAGCGGGAGTCTGTGAAGATCTTAACTTTGGTATACCCTAAATTTTGAAGAACTTTTAGTGCCTCAGTGGGTGCTTGAATTTCTGCTGTATTATTCGTAGCTCGTCCAATTACTGGTTTAGATATATTCCTAAATATGTTATTACATTTTTAACAAAAATATTTAACAATAAGTTCTAGACTCACAATGAATTCTCGTGACTGAACCATACCCCGATTCCAGCTTTCGCATTATTTTTTCCATTATTTTCACATGCCCCATCTGTATAAACAACTGCATATTCATTCTCTACTGGTACATCCCCAATGCCTCTGTTTCTCTTTGCTGAAGGCTCAACAAAACTATTTGATGAATCTGATTCGTCTAAAAGTCTTTTCGATGTAGTTCCTTGAATCTCATTAGTGGTAGATAATGATCGAATTTGTCTTAAAAATTATTAAGTAAAAAAAATTACGTTTGATTTTATTCAGTGGCGACGCCAAGGTTCTATGTTAAGGGGGCTAGACTGGGCCTGAAAAATGTAGGGGGGGGGGGACTTGTTTTTATTTTATTGCTTTTCTTATTTGGAATACAAAATGGAAAGTACCTGTCGCAGAGCTGGGATCGTTACTTGAAAAAAGTAACGCGTTACTTTACAGTTACTTTTGCTTGAAAATAACTCGTTACTTAAAATTTACAGTTACTTTCGAATAATGATAACTTTATTTTCGTTACTCATTGGAAAGTAACGCGTTACTGTAACTTCTTTACTTTGAAAGTAACTTCTTTACTTTAGAAGTAATTCGTTACTTAAAAGTAACTCGTTATTTGAAAGTTACCCGTTACCTTGAATAAAGCGTTATTTTTAAAGTAACGCGTTACTTCAAAAAAAAAAACTATTTACGTTAAAAATTGCGTTATTCCTTAATTTGACTCACCAACACAGCAGTCTAAACAATCAAATAAGACTTATACGAAATGCCAATATGTTTTTAGTTTGTGAGTCCGACTATGTGGAAGAGGTTTGTTGCAAAATTCAAACGGATTAAGGAATGAGCGACTAAATAGAGAACTTAGTTTTGGAAAAACCTGCTTTTTGAAGCGTCCCAGTGTCTGCATATTGTGTCTTTAGAGCAAAGGCGGCGCGTGCTACGCCTAAAAACGATTATTTTGAGTTTTCAAAACAAATTTTCTGTACTACTTACATTTTATTTGACATACAAAGTTTTTGGATTACTTATTTTCCTTTTCCTCAATCATCAATTATTTGTAAAGAAGATAAACAAATTGAGAGAACGCGTTACTTTCATAGTAACTAGTAACGCGTTACTCCCATATAAACGCGTTATTTTTATAGTAACGCGCTATTTTCATAGTAAGTCGTTACTTTAACAAAATAACGATCTGCAGTTACTTCAGGAAAGTAACGTCGTTAGAGTTACTTTATCAATCAATCTGAAAAGTAACGAAGTTACCAAGTAACGCGTTACTTTTAGTATCTCGTTAAAGTAAAGTAACTATTTTTTGTCGTTACTCCTAGCTCTGACCTGTCGACACTAATATGTTCCAGAAAAGCAGAAAAAGCATCCCGGTTGCCTGTGCCCTCTTAACCTAATAGGACTGCTCATTGAGTTGAAAATGGCTACCATTTCAGCTGCAAACCTCAACACTTGGCGTGAATGGCTTAGCCGAGTTCAAAACAGTATAGGTCAAAAAATTAATTCCTAAACGTTATAACCTTGTTAAAATCACCTTTTCTTCATTTAAATTCGACGAAAAAACAAGCACAATCTGAATCGCAAGCATACCATCGAGGCCTGCGAGTGACGTCATCACTATAAGCTGCTAAATAGTATAATATAAATGGAATTGAACAACTAAAAATAAAAATAAAAGCACAAAAGAAAAAACAAACGGACGAAGAGATTAACCTAAAGCCACTTATTAAGGAATTAAAAGAAAAAAACAAAAATCTTATTAATCAGATAAATGACAATGAGAGATTTATTATATAACTGAAAGGAGACTTATCAGATCTTGTAATTGTCAAGAATCAGATGAAGGACGCATTAGTAATACTTGAGGCAGATAATAGAATTTATGCGGAGAATGAAACAAAGTTGAAGAATGAATTGGGAAAGAAGAAAGAAGATCTACACAAGGACAGCAAGAATGAGAAAATGGAGAAGCAGAAGCAGCTAGAAAATAATGAGGATTTGAGTACAGAAAGAAGTGGAAAAATGAAGAATAGGGGAAGGTTACTTATTTTATGTGACGAATATGGTCGCCATCTGGACAGATCCTTTGGGGTAAAATACAATAAATTGGTATGTCAAACAATAATTAAACCAGGCGCATCTTTTGGAACAAAAGACATTGTTGAATTAGTAAAAGATTTTACCTTGGATGACTATGTTTTGATAATGGCTGGTTCTAATGATGTTGATAGATTGCAATTTCCATCTTTTAGAGATATAAATAAAAACTTAAATACTGCACTCAAACTAACATTGTTTTAACTTCAATTCCTTACATGAATTATAGAAAAAATGTTCTTGATGAAAGGTGCAAATGTTTAATAAAAAGCTTTATGAATATGCAGATCGATTGAACTTTTATAGTGAGGGAAAAACAATGTTTTGTGATCTCAATGATTGGAATGGTTTCAGAAAAAGTAAGGTGGAAATTGCAAATCTTATAAGCAACACCGTGTTTGCTGTAAGTGAAATGAATGCTAATCTTATTTATGTTAATACACAAACTTTTATTAATAATAGCGGAATTAACGAAAGTAGCGATCACGGGGGCTGAGGTAAAAGATCAATTGTTAGTATCTACTGATAGTTTTTTAGATCAAGTTTTGACATTTAAACATAAAAATTATTGGTTGGTTTACACATACATCTTTTACAATAAGAAAAAATATCTTTTGGTATCTCTGTACAGATCTCCAAATTCATGTAAACAGGATTTTGAGCTTTTTTTTCAAGCACGGTGCGAAGAAAATTTGATTGATGAAAATTGTGTCATTTTAGTTGTAGGCGACTTTAACATCGATTACAAAACGGATGAGTCAAAAGCTTTAAAAAAAATTCTTGTAGATATAGGTCTTAAAAACATTGTTTTTGCTACAACTCGCTCTGGTAGAGATAGACTCAATTATAGATTTGGTGCTAATGAACTCTGATAAGTTGTTTAAAGCTAATGTTATTATTACCCCAAAAATTACTGATCATTACATGATTGAAATATTACGCAATGTGGGTCCTAAAGTGGCTAAGACTATTGATACTAGAGGTGGAAATATTGATTTTTTGAGTATCAACCAAATGTTGCGCAATTGTGAGTTCAGGTACTATCATTCTGACATAAATCATAAGTTAAGCAGTTTTGTGTCAACCATAGAAAAGTGATTTATATTCTTGATATAGAAGGCTAACTTCTGTTGTAGTCGCCAAGTGACATTTCCGACGGTGCTGCCATAGCGGTGTAGTCATTGAACTAATATTTGGCGGGCCGTTTGAATCTCGGTTTTAAATGACTGGTTTGACATTTCAATTATTTCAAAATAAGGCAGTGTTTCAAAACTTCATAAACTAAAATTTTATACATTTTATTTTCATATATTTATATGAGAATTACCTAATGAATAAAATAGTCTATAATCTATTCATAGATGATCTGGCGTATCTGACTCATGAGATGACTGAAACACTTTCTAATCTGCTTTTTGAAAATGTCCATTTTTCCAGTTAAAAGGCTGTCATATTTGATCAAGTTATTTATAATTCCCTCGAGCATGTATGGATCATCATAAACGATTTCTAGGTTTTTTTTTATCTCCAACAAAACCAAAATTTCTGTTTCTGTGTTGTTTTTGATGTAGGTTTCCCTGGTCTGTGGCTGCAATTTGCTTTTGACCGATTCATTTTTTGCCGCCTGGTCACACACTGTGGCAACAACTTTTAATTCAGATGACAAGATGACATTTGCATTATGATGTTAAATAGATACCTGCGTTTTTATGACTGGTTTTTTCTATACACGACGATTCTATGTCGGTCAATGTCATTTTCTATTCACTAAACAAAGATAGGTTACTCATCGGTGAAGTCAGAGATTAGAATAAGAACGAGGGGGACGTTAAGAAACGGCGATATGGGCGCACAGCGGTGTAGTCACGAACTAAAACAAAAAGTGGCGGGGATGAATCCAGTGAATGTTCTATTTAAGAATTTATAAATCACTTTTCTATGGTGTCAACTGTTCTGGAAATTTTAAATTTAATTGCTCCAATAAAAACTGTTAAAATTTTTCCTAAATATAAAAAATGGTGGAACTATAGGGTGGAGATCGCGATGCGAGAATGTGATTTCAGTTATAGGACTTATATTGAAATGAAACGAAGAACGGCGCCAGTATAAGCTTCGTGACTGTGTTTTTTTAATATATAAATTTACAATAATTACAAAATTAAAATTATTGTCCATGAGAACATAACAACTGAAAAATTTTTACAAACAGAAAAGCACACTACTTTTCTTTTATGATGACCACCAAATTGACCTACTGTCGTTATCAAATTGTTGTCACATTTTGTCATAAATATAACCTTAACATAAATAATCAATAATAAAATAATTCTATTGTAGTTTTTGACAACTTATAAAAATAATAAAACAGAGACTCCGACAGAGCCCAATACGGGCAAACAAAAACTAAAACATCAATCAACAGGAAATGGTCTGAATATTTTTCACATGAATATTCAGAGTATCCGAAATAAAACACTCGAACTAGAAGTAGTCCTGAAAACACTGGACACTGAGCATCAAATTGTCTGCCTATCAGAAACATGGCTCCAACCAGGTGAAGAAGCATTTGTCAAGCTTGAGGGCTACACCCTGCTAGCATCATTTTCACGCTCTAAAATTCAACATGGTGGTGTATGCATCCTGGTCGGAGATGGAGAGGAAAACTTTATGGAATTGGATGACTTCAAAGAATTTTGTATCGAGGGGCAAATAGAACTCTGTACTTTAATAAATAAAATTGATAAAATTCTAATTTTCTGTATTTATAGGTCCTGTAAGGGGAGTTGTGAACTCTTCCTAGAGGTCTTCGAGAGGCTG